CTATTATTAACCTGCTTGTATATATCTGCTTGTTTATACATGTGTAATTACCATTGACAGTACTGATAGGGGAAACATCCCTGTTATTTACAAATTGTAGAAATATAAACATGTATTTTTCTGGTAAGGTCTGAAACATTTACGTATGTAAATGTGTGTCTGTACTGCTTTTTACCACTTAATGAGTGCTGGGGGAGGTTTATCCATGAACAGTTTTTCGTTGTCTTTAAATTACAGCTGGGCTATGGAACATCGACGCCCTACAGTTCTCGAGCATTTCAAGCAAACAACATTTATTGGAATATTCCCTTCTAAACAACTAGGCATATAACATAAATGGAAAGGTAGAAAATAGGAATTTGTATGAACAACACTGATGTGCCGTCCTACTTATTGATGTACACAGTATTACCAGTTTTCAACCTTATTATAAATAAACTGTTTGTCATGTGTTTAATGTTTAAACATGAATATAATATTGTACTCTAAAATCGATATAAAAGAAACATAAACTAGGAAAGACATTATAAACCATGCAGAATGATTCTTATTGGTTCCCCAGCCCGTGCCCGACACTTACCGGACAGTTCGTCTGGTTCAAGCCCGCTTTCAGTGTCAAGTCCGCAGATAACAAAATAATCTGCGAATCGACAAGAATTCGAGCTGAAGCCGGTGGTCATTTTGAGACTGGTCCGGTGGTACCCTTTTCCTCGCCTTTTTCAGCTGGGTGCATATTAAAGGATCGCGTAGCGATTTCGCGCAGCCATTGTGGATGTACTGCAAAGCCTGAATATCAGAACAGAATGCCAGCCGAATTGCATTATGGATCTTCAAGTACATCTGTTTTCATCTGTCTCAGATCTTCTCAACCCCTAGCATTACCTCTGCGTAGAAGGAACACACTGAGCATGTGCGAACTCCTTACTGATTACGTTATGCACTTAACCCTTCAGTTCCTGAGTTCTAAGTATTTCTCCTGTAAAATGCTCTCCTTTATAATAATAATGCTATAGTAATGAAGCATTAAATAGGCCATAATGCACCTATAATGAACCTGAGTCATAGTATTCTTACTCCACTGTAGCCAAGACCATCCAGTGTACAACTGAATGCAAACTTGAATTTCACCAATTTAGCCCGAACAATTGTTTTAATCATACCTTGAATATAGTAATGTACTACACATGTAATACCATAGCTGTAATACACATACAGTAATAGGTATTCAAGGCACAGAGAATGGGGAGTAAGTGTCAGAAACAGGAAAAATGTGTAAAGACACGTTATCTGATGCACAATTTAGAATATATTTCATTAAATCATAAAAAAAATGTGTCCTACTTAAACTCAAATAAATCAAAGCAATTGTTGGGCTGAAATCTGTAGACATGTACAAAGAGCTCCCCCATGTGGTAAAAGGTGACGGGTAAAAAGATGCAGAACTTTGCCATTAGATTCACATTCTCATTTTCCAATCATTCACCGGACAGTGAGCAAAAATGTACATAATATTTTTTTATGATTTCTAAATAAATATGTTAATAATAACCCCAACATTCATTAGCTTGGACAAAAAGACGTACAAGAATGAATATAATTTACAAACACAGGTCATATTGCAATACATTATCATTTGGCACAACGTAATACTGTAAAGATCACAAGCCTAATGAATGGACAAGGAAACACACCAAGAATCATCCAAACCAGCGAAGATATTCTCAATCTTCTCCGCATGAAATCAACATAATAAGAAACACGTGTAACACCCTAATTTTGCAGTGATCTTTAAAAATGGGATAAAACTACTGTGGACTTCTAAACAGTTATTGCAAATATGTCAATGAATTTCCAGGAATTACTTCTGATATCAAATTGGGTGAACAAATAATGTAATAGTAATATAAAGGGCTAAGTAACGAAATATTCTTATTTAAACACAAAAACAGCTTTCATAAGAGCACACACTTTGTATTGACTGAACAGCTACAGCATCTCCCATTGAGCTTGATCCCTCTGAAAACTACTGCAGTGCAATCAAGATGAGGTAAAGATGCAACCTCTCTGAACTACAAAAAGCTGAAGCCCAAATTTCCAACAACAAGGACATTAACACAACTAAATAAAATGAAAGGTCATTAATTTGATGGGTTACAGCGGGACTGGGATACAGTAGGGCCGTTTACACAGGCAGACCAGTTCTGATCTTTTGCCCAATTATTGGCAAAAGACCTTATCTGATAGGTCAAAACACAAATTAGTGGTAAAAAAAGATCCAAATTGGGCTGCCTGTTTAAACACAGCCAAAGTGGCCATTATATAAAAATATGAAGCACTAAGCCTGCGTTTATACAGGCAGCCTAATTCGTATCTTTTTTTCACTAATTGGTCTTTTGACCAATCAGATCAGCTCTGAGAAAAGAGCTGATGTGAAAAGATCTGATGTGATTGGTCAAAAGACCAATTAGTGGAAAAAATATACGATTTAGGCTGCCTGTGTAAACACAGCCTTAGACATGCCAAGTGGCCACACAAATTCATTCAGGTTATTAAATACTAACAAATGGGATTTCTTTTCTATAAGGACACAGAAAGGGTTTCTATAATGGACTAAAAAGTTGATCCAATAAGACTGTTGATAATCAACATTTTTAAAATGCTTTCTCACTTTTTAAAATCAAATACATTTTCATTAATTATGAGTGATCTCAGATGCAGAAGAGTGGACAGTGCTTGAGACATTAAGTTTTAAGAAACATCAACAGTAAGACTGTCCAAGTGCACATTCACTGCATCAACCTCTAGATACAACCAGAAGGTTTCACAGCAGCAGAGAATTCGAATAATGACATCAGGTAAGGCTAAATAAATCACTCCAATCACATCAAAGCACCCAAACTATAGAAAAAATTAGGCATCACACCAACAGATACATACAGGATGGACTCTAAGAAATCTATACAGTGCCTTAAGAAAGTATTCACACCCCTTGACTTTTTCCACATTTTGTTGTGTTACAGCCTGAATTGAAAATGGATTACATTTAGATTTTGTGTCACTGGCCTTCACACAATACCCCATAATGTCAAAGGGGAATTATGTTTGTAGACATTTTTAAAATTAATAAAAAATGAAAAGCTGAAATGTCTTGGATTCAACCCCCCTTTGTTATGGCAAGCCTAAATAAGTTCAGGATTAAAAATGTGCTCAACAAGTAGTAAGTTGCATGGACTCACTATGTGTGCAATAATAATGTTGAACATTATTTTTTAACGACTACCTCATCTCTGTACCCCACACATACAGATAATTGTAAGGTCCCTGAATCGAGCAGTGAATTTCTAACACAGATTCAACCACAAAGACCAGGGAGGTTTTCCAACGCCTATTGGTAGGTAGATGGGTATTTATACACCACTTTGGATGGTGTATAAATACACCCAGTCACTACAAAGATACAGGCGTCCTTCCGAACTCAGTTGCTGGAGAGGAAGGAAACCACTTACGGATTTCAGCATGATGCCAATGATGACTTTAAAAAAAGTTTGAGTTTAATGGCTGTGATAAGAGAAAACTGAGGATGGCTCAACAACATTGTAGTTACTCCACAATACTAACCTAAATTGACAGAGGGAAAAGAGGGAAACCTATACAGAATAAAATATTCCAAAACATGTATCCTGTTTGCAATAAGACACTAAAGTAAAATTGCTAAAGATGTGGCAAAGAAATTAACGTTATGTCCTGGATACAAAGCATTATGTTTGGGGCAAATCCAACGTCATCACGGAGTACCACCTCATATTTTCAAGCATGGTGGTGGCTGCATCATGTTACGGGTATGCTTGTCATTAGCAAGGACTAGGGAGTTTATGATCAAAAGAAACGGAATAGAGCTAAGCACAGGTAAAATCCTATAGGAAACCCTGGTTCAGTCTGCTTTCCAACAGAGACTGGGAGACAAATTCACCTTTCAGCAGGACAATAACCTAAAACACAAGGCCAAATATACACTGGAGTTGCTTACCAAGACGACAATAAATGTTCCTGAGTGGCCTAGTTACAGTTCACTGAAAATCAGCTTGAAAATCTATGGCAAGACTTGAAAATGGCTGTCTAACAATGATCAACAACCAACTTGACCCCTCTTGAATAATTTAAAAAAGAGTAATGTGCAACTATTGTACAATTCCAGGTGTGCAAAGTTCTTAGACTTTCCCAGAAAGACTCACAGCTGTAATCAGTGCCTAAGGTTTTTTGAACATGTATTGACTCAGGGGTTTGAATACATATCTAAACAAGATACACTATATATAAAAGCGTCGGCTGGAATGTTGTAAAGCTCGCCGACATTGGACTCTGGAGCAGTGGAAACGCGTTCTCTGGAGTGATCAATCACGCTTCACCATCTGACAGTCCGAAGGACGAATCTGGGTTTGGCGGATGCCAGGAGAACGCTACCTGCCCCAATGCATAGTGCCAACTGTAAAGTTTGGTGGAGGAGGAATAATGGTCTGGGGCTGTTTTTCATGGTTCGGGCTAGGCCCCTTAGTCCCAGTGATGGGAAATCTTAACGCTACAGCATACAATGACATTCTAGACGATTCTGTGCTTCTAACTTTATGGCAACAGTGTGGGGAAGGCCTTTCCTGTTTCAGCACGACAATGCCCCTGTGCACAAAATGAGGTCCATACAGAAATGGTTTGTCGAGATCGGTGTGGAAGAACTTTACTGGCCTGCACAGAGGCCCTGACCTCAACCCCATCAAAAACGTTTGGGATGAATTGGAACGTCGACTGCAGCAAAGGGGGGACCAACTCCATTTTAATGCCCATGATTTAGGAATGAGATGTTCAACGAGCAGGGTGTCCACATACCTTTGGTCATGTAGCGTATATTAGTGGGGTATTTTTTATTTTTTTTGTACAAATGTTAGAAATTTTTCTTCTACTTTGACAGAGTAGTTTGTGTAGATCGTTGACACAAATTATTACAATTAAATCCATTTTAATCCCACTTTGTAACACAAACATTTTAAAAAGTCAAGGGGTGTGACTACTTTCTGAAGGCACTGTACATGAAGTAGCAGTGTGAAATCACTAACACCTGGGAAAAGCATGAGCAACCAAAAATCAATTGGTAGCTTTGCAAAGGGCACTGCTGGGTCATCCATTGAATGGAGCGCACTACTGCATTTCTCAACTGGCATAGCATTTGGACTGGTGACACACAAGAGGGAGAGCACACAGGCAGAGGGGCAGTCTCAGCACCATTAGTAGAACAAGTATAAAAGTATAGTATACAAAATACTAGTTTTCAATACTTGATATGCCATTTCATACAATTAAAGGGGAAATCCAATTATTAGCGATGTAATAGTGATAGGCCCAGCACAAGCATCAAGGGTTTCATATTTATCTTACTAGGTGTTCATATGCATATTTTTCATGTCAACATCGATGGTACACATGTCATTTTAGGGTGGGTGTGTTAACAATATCTTCAAAGGATAGAAAATGCTAAATTATTTAATATGTTCACATTCTAACCAGTGTAAAACAGCCATAATAATCGTCTTCAAATTGTGAAAATCAAAAACATTGAACTGCGACTCTGATCAGTATTGCTTTGATGTCACCCATATCACACAGGTTAAGAGATCAAATACATTTAAAACATGGTTAAATAAATACAAAGGGGGAAGTGTAGCTTGAACTTGTGAGAACCATTGTGATTAAAAACAATATTAAAAGACAGATGCCTGATGTTTTCTGTATCTTTTCTTGAATCTTCAATTTACAGGCAAGCAACATTGAACAAAAATGGGAAAACAAACCCGAGGGTGAGCAGAGGCCATTTAGTCCTTTGTAGAGCACAAAGTTGAGGTGGCCACCACCACATGTTTTGGACACAGGAGTCATGGTTGTGCCAACGGGCAATGTTTCCACAGCAACCTCAGCAGGTGTGTGGGACAGCAACAGGCAGGACCATGTGAGTGATAGCGGCATGTACCATTCCTGAGCCAAGGGACGGGCAGGAGGATCAGGCAGAGGAGTTGCTATTTTGTCTACTGTCTACTCCATCTTCTGCTGCAGTTTCTTCTGGAAGCAGACAGGCAGGATAGAGAGTACGGCCAGGACACCTAGTACAATCAGAGAGTTCCAGGACACTGCCTCCCCAGCTGTCGTCAGTTTGTACAGTGTTGTGCCAGCGTTGATCGCCACAAAGGACGGTGGGGCCACTCCTGACAGTCAGAGATAAGGGAGGAAGTCAGTATTGTTTGGTTGATGAAATAGTGACAATGCCTTTCGTAACAGATTTCAGAAACATGCATTCAGTAATATATTTTTAAAATATATATTTAAAAATCAGTGGTCACCAACCGGTCGATCTTCAAAAGCCCTGCGCACCGGGTAAGCAAAGTGTTCCCATTTGTTTTTGTCTGAAGACACAAACTCCGCCTTTGAACGGTAATCCAACTCGGAATTCCAACTCGGGCATCTTTCTAGAGCTCCGACTTTCCTACCTGAAGATCACTGACGTCATGATTTGACCTCGTTCACCATCAGATGCTGGTACCATAAGTTCAGTAAAATAAAAAAGCAAATTATTTCAATTCATGCTCCACAGTGCCTCACAAGTGCTAAACCAACTGACCTATTTTGTTATCAAAGCTCGAATTTTGAAATATAATATGGTCTGAGATTAACAATATTGGCAGGCCAAGCATATAGCCAATATGCTGTGACAATGTATTAGGCCTACTGCCCAAAACTCATTCCTACAAAACTGTTTGTATTAGGTTAATGTAAAAACAAAAATCTGAGCAGTAGATCTCGGCTTCCTTTTTGACTGCGAAAGTCATCTTGACTCAGAAATGGTTGGTGACCACTGTTTTAAATGGTATGAGAAATAAAAAAATAGCTCAGCAATAAAGACAATGCAACACTATCAACAGTGTTTTACACTGAGAAGGAAATACTGGAGTTTGATACATCTTAGCCTTACCAAAGAAAGTACCAAGGAAGAAGACCCCCAAAGGCACGTTGATGACGGGTGAGGTGATGTTGATGAACCAGTTGGGGAGAAAGGGAGTGATTCTCAGAAATATTATGTAATTGATGAGATGATCTCTGTGCTTGTCAACCTGCCATTGAAAACAGATACCAGAACCTGTCATTCACAGTAAGGCTTGGAGGCTACTAGCCCCCTACTAAGACTCCACTGTTCTGTGGGTGCAGATAGATATGTGGATGTTACTAAATTGTTAAAGTTGGCTTGTACTCTGATATAAACAACTTCCTACACTGTTCACGTACCAAATCAACCCGTTTTTCCTTCCAAAAGGTCTTACCTGCTGGGACCATTTCTGGGCTCTCTCTGTCAGGTATCTGTAGACCACAGGTCGCCCCACTAGATAAGACAGCATGTAGCAGAAGGAAGCCCCCAGGCCAGAGCACTGGAAAACACATCACACATTCAGAGGTACAAGTGACAGAGGCAGTACATTTTGTAAACAGAGTCTGGTTTACAGAGTCAAAGTACATTTAGTAAATGTCACCACTATTATTAGTCATCGTTCTCCTTGTGGCCATAGTATACTCACCAGGCAGACGAGGAAAAGAGCTAGGGGGAAAGGGTAGAGATAACCAGACAGGATGCTGAGGAAGATGGATCCAGGGATCGCAAATGTCTGGAGGCTGAGTCAACAGCGTCAAGGAATACAGCTCAAGGGTTGAACACACAGCAGTATGTGCACACACACTTGTGGATGCAGTCACAAATATACACTGAACAAAAATATAAAAACGCAACATGCAACAATTAAGACTTTACTGAGTTACAGTTCATATAAGGAAATCAGTCAATTTAAATAAATTCATTAGGCCCTAATCTATGGATTTCACGACTGTGAATACAGAGATGCATCTGTTGGTCACAGATACCTTTTTAAAAAAAGTAGGGGCGTGGATCAGAATACCCATCAGTATCTGGTGTGACCACTATTTGCCTCATGCAGTGTGACACATCTCCTTCACATAGTTGATCAGGCTGTTGATTGTGGCCTGAGGAATGTTGTCACACTCCTCTTCAATGACTGTGTGAAGTTGCTGGATATTGGCGGGAAACTGGAACACACTGTCCTACACTTAAATCCAGAGCATCCCAAATATGCTCAATGGGTGACATATCTGGTGAGTATGCAGGCCATGGAAGAACTGGGACATTTTCAGCTTCCAGGAATTGTGTACAGATCCTTGCGACACGGGGCCGTGCATTATCATGCTGAAACATGAGGTGCTGGCGGCGGATGAATGGCACGACAATGGGCCTCAGGATCTCGTCACGGTATCTCTGTGCATTCAAATTGCCATAGATAAAATGCAATCGTGTTCGTTGTCCGTAGTTTATGACTGCCCATAGCATAACCCCACCACCACCATGGGGCACTCGCTTCATTAGCAAACCGCTTGTCCACACAACGCCATACATGCCATCTGCCCGGTACAGTTGAAACCGGGCTTCATCCGTGAAGAGCACACTCCTCCAGCGTGCCAGTGGCCATCGAAGGTCAGCATTTGCCCACTGAAGTCAGTTACAACGCCGCACTGGAGGCAGTTACAACACCAAACTGCAGTCAGGTCAAGACCCTGGTGAGGATGATGAGCATGCAGATGAGCTTCCCTGAGATGGTTTCTAACAGTTTGTGCAGAAATTCTTCTGTTATGCAAACCCACAGTTTCATCAGCTGTCTGGGTGGCTGGTCTCAGACGATCCCGTAGATGAAGAAGCCGGATGTGGAGGTCCTGGGCTGGCATGGTTACATGTGGTCTGCGGTTGTGAGGCCGGTTGGACGTACTGCCAAATTCTCTAAAACAACATTGGAGGCAGCTTATGGTAGAGAAATGAACATTCAATTCACTGGGAACAGCTCTGGTGGACATTCCTGCAGTCAGCATGCAGAGTGCATGCTCCCTCAAAACTTGAGACATCTGTGGCATTGTGTTGTGTGACAAAACTGCACATTTTAGAGTGGTCTTTTATTGTCCCCAGCACAAGGTGCACCTGTGTAATGATCATGCTGTTTAATCAGCTTCTTGATATGCCACACCTGTCCAGTTGATGGATTATCTTGGCAAAGGAGACATGCTCACTAACAGGGATTTAAACAAATTTGTGCACAGAATTTGAGAGAAATAAGCTTTTTGTGCATATAGAACATTTCAGGGATATTTTATTTCAGCTCATGAAACATTGGACCAACACTTTAAAAATGTTGCGTTTCTATTTTTGTTCAGTATAGTTCAAGACATACTCCACTGTAGTAGTATACAGTGCCAGTTTATTATAGCTCTGGCTGCAAGTTTAATTTGTGCCAGTCATCTGCCTGCTTTCAGCAACATTACAGGCAGATAGAAGTATCAGCTATAAAAGAGGGGGGGGGGCTGGTCCAGTGGCACCACCTCATATCTAAACATCATCCATATTCAGAGCACATTTATTTTGATGAATAAACACTACACAGTATGAGCTATGAATACAAATGCAGTATCATGCCTGATGTCTCCGCACCACATGCTCTCACCACTGGTGTCCCCCAGGGCTCAGTTCTAGGCCCTCTCCTATTCTCGCTATACACCAAGTCACTTGGCTCTGTCATATCCTCACATGGCCTCTCCTATCATTGCTACGCAGACGACACACAACTAATCTTCTCCTTTCCCCCTTCTGATAACCAGGTGGCGAATCGCATCTCTGCATGTCTGGCAGACATATCAGTATGGATGACGGATCACCACCTCAAGCTGAACCTTGGCAAGACGGAGCTGCTCTTCCTCCCGGGGAAGGACTGCCCGTTCCATGATCTCGCCATCACGGTTGACAACTCCGTTGTGTCCTCCTCCCAGAGTGCGAAGAGCCTTGGCGTGACCCTGGACAACACCCTGTCGTTCTCCGCTAACATCAAGGCGGTGACCCGATCCTGTAGGTTCATGCTCTACAACATTCGGAGAGTACGACCCTGCCTTACACAGGAAGCAGCACAGGTCCTAATCCAGGCACTTGTCATCTCCCGTCTGGATTACTGCAACTCGCTGTGGCTGGGCTCCCTGCCTGTGCCATTAAACCCCTACAACTCATCCAGAATGCCGCAGCCCGTCTGGTGTTCAACCTTCCCAAGTTCTCTCACGTCACCCCGCTCCTCCGCACACTACACTGGCTTCCAGTTGAAGCTCGCATCTGCTACAAGACCATGGTGCTTGCCTACGGAGCTGTGAGGGGAACGGCACCTCCGTACCTTCAGGCTCTGATCAGTCCCTACACCCAAACGAGGGCATTGCGTTCATCCACCTCTGGCCTGCTGGCTCCCCTACCTCTGCTGAAGCACAGTTCCCGCTCAGCCCAGTCAAAACTGTTCGCTGCTCTGGCACCCCAATGGTGGAACAAGCTCCCTCACGACGCCAGGACAGCGGAGTCACTCACCACCTTCCGGAGACATTTGAAACCCCACCTCTTTAAGGAACACCTGGGATAGGATAAAGTAATCCTTCTACCCCCCCCCTTACCCCACCAATTTTTTTTTTAGAAAATTGTAAAGTGGTTATCCCACTGGCTATAAGGTGAATGCACCAATTTGTAAGTCGCTCTGGATAAGAGCGTCTGCTAAATGACGTAAATGTAAATGTCTTCTACAGCTAGTTTGCTCATTCTCTTTCCCCTCCACTGTCTAGGAACATGTTAATGCATAGTGTCTGTGCTCTGGTCAGTATGTGCTGACAGCACAAGGACAGGATCAGCTGACCAGGCCCCAGCCACTGTCTGGGATGTGTTGCCTTGTAGTTTTAGGTTAGAGATTAGGCAAACTAGCAGAGGAAGCAGTGTAGAAGACATAAGGCATGATACTGCATTTGTATTCATAGTTCATACTGTGCAGTGTTTATTCATATTCATCATAATAAAATGTGCTCTGAAGATGGATGATGTTTAGATATGAGGTGGTACCATAACATGCATCGGACCATGTTTTTCCCCCCTCTTTTATAGAGGATTCTTCTATCTGCCCGTAATGTCTGTCTGAAGTGCAATTGACAAAGCTGGAACAGAGTTTCTACTGCAAATAGCTGTGGGTGGAAAGGAAGTTCTTAAAACCTACCGCACTGCATGTCTGCATTGATCTGTCTTCTCCTGTCATAAAACGAGGGAAAATGTACTGCACTCTGGATGTTGTGAACACACAAGAATTGCCTGAATTACTACTCAAGGATCAAAGGCCACTGTAATCCCATCCCCTACTTCTCCATTCATTATCCAGAGGCAAGCCCATGCCTTTTCTATGGCCTTGGAGATTTCATCTGCTTGGCTGGCTGCTTTGTTCACAGGAAATGAAGAATGAGAGAGGGAGACCAAGCAGGCGAAAGCGAGGCAGGGGAGATTAGGGATGCTGCAATCAACAGGCCCATCACAGAGTAACAAAAGCATGTGTTGGTCCGCTTCCCCGTCTGTCGCTCTCCTCTGCTGACCGACTTGAATACATAGGGGGCCTCAAAGACATGCTGCATGTTGAAACAGCTAATAAGTACATATCTCACTCCTCCAAAAGTGGACAACTTTGCAATACATTTACTACCCAAAAGGATACAAGATATAGGTGGTAAAGTAGGCTACTAACACTTGGGTGTAGTAGGTGTCCTTATATTTGGAAAGTACAGTGCCCAAGGCTTTGGCATCATCCATATCTTTGGGGATTTTAATAGTAGCCATCTCATCACTGGAAAAACATTTTTTTAAGGGAAATGAAAAAACATGGATATCAATTCACCATCATACAATGTTGTGGATAAATAAAAATCTGTATGTGAATCTGTGTGCAAGGGCTTTGACACTTACAGAAACAGAGAAATTAAAACATGACCGTCTATATTGGAGTGTGTCATACTTGGATGTAGACAATTTAAATCAAATGGTTCTCATCATTAGCTGTGATAATCATTGATAACAGGCTCCTATATATAGCTGTAATAGGCAGATTTCCAAACAGCCTTTACATGGTGATACTTTCTTCGTTCTCTATTCGGACGTCCCCAGTGTCTTCTAAACTCTGATGGCTAGTTGCAGAGGAATGTTTGAATTTAGAAAGCGCTCCGTTATAAAATCGAATCCTTTTTTGCTCCATTAATCATCCAACAATGTATACGCCACCATATTTATATATACAGTACCAGTCAAAAGTTAGGACAAACCTACTCATTCCGGGTTTCTTTATTTTTACTATTTTCTACATTGTAGAATAATAGTGAAGGCATCAAAACTATGAAATAACACATGGAGTCATGTAGTAGGTTAAACAAATCAAAATATATTTTATATTAGAGATTCTTCAAAGTAAGCCACCCTTTGCCTTGATGACAGCTTTGCACACTACTTTGAAGAATCTAAAATATATTTTGATTTGTTTAACACCTTTTTGGATACTACATGACTCCATGTGTTATTTCATAGTTTTGATGCCTTCACTATTATTCTACAATGTAGAAAATAGTAAAAATAAAGAAAAACCCTTGAATGAGTAGGTGTGTCCAAACTTTTGAATGGTAATGTATGTATGTATGTATGTATGTATGTATGTATGTATGTATGTATGTATGTATGTATGTATGTATGTATGTATGTATGTATGTATGTATGTACAGTGGGGGAAAAAAGTATTTAGTCAGCCACCAATTCTGCAAGTTCTCCCACTTAAAAAGATGAGAGAGGCCTGTAATTTTCATCATAGGTACACGTCAACTATGACAGACAAAATGAGGAAAAAAAATCCAGAAAATCACATTGTAGGATTTTTTATGAATTTATTTGCAAATTATGGTGGAAAATAAGTATTTGGTCAATAACGAAAGTTTCTCAATACTTTGTTATATACCCTTTGTTGGCAATGACACAGGTCAAACGTTTTCTGTAAGTCTTCACAAGGTTTTCACACACTGTTGCTGGTATTATGGCCCATTCCTCCATGCAGATCTCCTCTAGAGCAGTGATGTTTTGGGGCTGTCGCTGGGCAACACGGACTTTCAACTCCCTCCAATTATTTTCTATGGGGTTGAGATCTGGAGACTGGCTAGGCCACTCCAGGACCTTGAAATGCTTCTTACGAAGCCACTCCTTCGTTGCCCGGGCAGTGTGTTTGGGATCATTGTCATGCTGAAAGACCCAGCCACATTTCATCTTCAATGCCCTTGCTGATGGAAGGAGGTTTTCACTCAAAATCTCACGATACATGGCCCCATTCATTCTTTCCTTTACACAGATCAGTCGTCCTGGTCCCAAAGCATGATGTTTCCACCCCCATGCTTCACAGTAGGTATGGTGTTCTTTGGATGCAACTCAGCATTCTTTGTCCTCCAAACACGACGAGTTGAGTTTTTACCAAAAAGTTATATTTTGGTTTCATCTGACCATATGACATTCTCCCAATCCTCTTTTGGATCATCCAAATGCACTCTGGCAAACTTCAGACGGGCCTGGACATGTACTGGCTTAAGCAGGGGAACACGTCTGGCACTGCATGATTTGAGTCCCTGGCGGCGTAGTGTGTTACTGATGGTAGGCTTTGTTACTTTGGTCCCAGCTCTCTGCAGGTCATTCACTAGGTCCCCCCGTGTGGTTCTGGGATTTTTGCTCACCGTTCTTGTGATCATTTTGATCCCACGGGGTGAGATCTTGCGTGGAGCCCCAGATCGAGGGAGATTATCAGTGGTCTTGTATGTCTTCCATTTCCTAATAATTGCTCCCACAGTTGATTTCTTCAAACCAAGCTGCTTACCTATTGCAGATTCAGTCTTCCCAGCCTGGTGCAGGTCTACAATTTAGTTTCTGGTGTCCTTTGACAGCTCTTTCGTCTTGGCCATAGTGGAGTTTGGAGTGTGACTGTTTGAGGTTGTGGACAGGTGTATTTTATACTGATAACAAGTTCAAACAGGTGCCATTAATACAGGTAACGATTGGAGGACAGAGGAGCCTCTTAAAAAATAAGTTACAGGTCTGTGAGAGCCAGAAATCTTGCTTGTTTGTAGGTGACCAAATACTTATTTTCCACCATCATTTGCAAATAAATTCATTAAAAATCCTACAATGTGATTTTCTGGATTTTTTTTCCTCAATTTGTCTGTCATAGTTGACATGTACCTATGATGAAAATTACAGGCCTCTCTCATCTTTTTAAGTGGGAGAACTTGCACAATTGGTGGCTGACTAAATACTTTTTTCCCCCACTGTATGTATGTATGTATGTATGTATGTATGTATGTATGTATGTATGTATGTATGTATGTATGTATGTATGTATGTATGTATGTATGTATGTATGTATGCATGCATATATACAGTTGAAGTCGGAAGTTTACATACACCTTAGCCAAATACATTTAAACTCAGTTTTTCACAATTCCTGACATTTAATCCTAGTAAAAATGCCCTGCCTTAGGTCAGTTAGGATCACCACTTTATTTTAAGAATGTGAAATGTCAGAATAATAGTAGAGATAATTATTTATTTCAGCTTTTATTTATTTCATCACATTCCCAAGTGGGTCAGAAGTTTACATACATTCAATTAGTATTTGGTAGCATTGCCTTTAAATTGTTTAACTTGGGTCAAACGTTTTGGGTAGCCTTCCACAAGCTTCCCACAATAAGTTGGGTGAATTTTGGCACATTCCTCCTGACAGAGCTGTTGTAACTGAGTCAGGTTTGTAGGCCTCCTTGCTCGCACACGCTTTTTCAGTTCTGCCCACACACTTTCTATAGGATTGAGGTCAGGGCTTTGTGATGGCCACTCCAATACCTTGACTTTGTTGTCCTTAAGCCATTTTGCCACAACTTTGGAAGTATGCTTGGGGTCATTGTCCATTTGGAAGACCCATTTGCAACCAAGCTTTAACTTCCTGACTGATGTCTGGAGATGTTGCTTCAATATATCCACATAATTTTCCTTCCGCATGATGCCATCTATTTTGTGAAGTGCACCAGTCCCTCCTGCAGCAAATCACCCCCACAGCATGATGCTCCCACTCCCGTTCTTCACGGTTGGGATGGTGTTCTTCGGCTTGCAAGCAACCCCCTTTTCCCTCCAAACATAACGATGGTCATTATGGCCAAACAGTTCTATTTTTGTTTCATCAGACCAGAGGACATTTCTCCAAAAAGTATGATCTTTGTCCCCATGTGCAGTTGCAAAACGGGCTTTTTTATGGCGGTTTTGGAGCAGTGGCTTCTTCCTTGCTGAGCGGCCTTTCAGGTTATGTCAATATAGGACTCGTTTTACTGTGGATATAGATACCTTTGTACCGGTTTCCTCCAGCATCTTCACAAGGTCCTTTGCTGTTGTTCTAGGATTGATTTGCACTTTTCGCACCAAAGTACGTTCATCTCTAGGAGACAGAACACGTCTCCTTCCTGAGCGGTATGAAGGCTGCGTGGTCCCATGGTGTTTATACTTGCGTACTATTGTTTGTACAGATGAACGTGGTACCTTCAGGCGTTTGGAAATTGCTCCCAATGATGAACCAGACTTGTGGAGGCCTACAATTTTTTTTCCTGAGGTCTTGGCTGATTTATTTAGATTTTCCCATGATGTCAAGCAAAGAGGCACTGAGTTTGAAGGTAGGCCTTGAAATACATCCACAGGTACACCTCCAATTGACTCAAATTGTGTCAATTAGCCTATCAGAAGCTTCTAAAGCCATGACAACATTTTCTGGAATTTCCCAAGCTGTTTAAAGGCACAGTCAACTTAGTGTATGTAAACTTCTGACCCACTGGAATTGTGATACAGTGAATTATAAGTGAAATAATCTGTCTAAACAATTGTTGGAAAAATTACTTGTGTCATGCACAAAGTAGATGTCCTAACCAACTTGCCAAAACTATAGTCTGTTGGAATGGTTGAAAAACGAGTGGTTGAAAAACGAGTTTTAATGACTCCAACCTAAGTGTATGTAAACTTCCGACTTCAACTGTGTGTGTGTGTATATATATATATATATATATATATATATATATATATATATATATATATATACACATACACACACACACACACACACACACACACACACACACACACACACAGTGGGGAGAACAAGTATTTGATACACTGCCGGTTTTGCAGGTTTACCTACTTACAAAGCATGTAGAGGCCTGTAAATTTTATCATAGCTACACTTCAACTGTGAGAGACGGAATCTAAAACAAAAATCCAAAAAATCACATTGTATGATTTTTAAGTAATTCATTTGCATTTTATTGCATGACATAAGTATTTGATACATCAGAAAAGCAGAACTTAATATTTGGTACAGAAACCTTCGTTTGCAATTACAGAGATCATACGTTTCCTGTAGGTCTTGACCAGGTTTGCACACACTGCAGCAGGGATTTTGGCCCACTCCTCCATACAGACCTTCTCCAGATCCTTCAGGTTTCGGGGCTGTCGCTGGGCAATACGGACTTTCAGCTCCCTCCAAAGATTTTCTATTGGGTTCAGGTCTGGAGACTGGCTAGGCCACTCCAGGACCTTGCGATGCTTCTTACGGAGCCACTCCTTAGTTGCCCTGGCTGTGTGTTTTTCGGGTCATTGTCATGCTGAAAGACCCAGCCACGACCCATCTTCAATGCTCTTACTGAGGGAAGGAGGTTGTTGGCCAAGATCTCGCGATACATGGCCCCATCCATCCTCCCCTCAATACGGTGCAGTCGTCCTGTCCCCTTTGCAGAAAAGCATCTCCAAAGAATGATGTTTCCACCTCCATGCTTCACGGTTGGGATTGTGTTCTTGGGGTTGTACTCATCCTTCTTCTTCCTCCAAACACGGCGAGTGGAGTTTAGACCAAAAAGCTCTATTTTTGTCTCATCAGACCACATGACCTTCTCCCATTCCTCCTCTGGATCATCCAGATGGTCATTGGCAAACTTCAGACGGGCCTGGACATGCGCTGGCTTGAGCAGGGGGACCTTGCGTGCGCTGCAGGATTTTAATCCATGACGGCGTAGTGTGTTACTAATGGTTTTCTTTGAGACTGTGGTCCCAGCTCTCTTCAGGTCATTGACCAGGTCCTGCCGTGTAGTTCTGGGCTGATCCCTCACCTTCCTCATGATCATTGATGCCCCACGAGGTGAGATCTTGCATGGAGCCCCAGACCGAGGGGTGATTGACCATCATCTTGAACTTCTTCCATTTTCTAATAATTGCGCCAACAGTTGTTGCCTTCTCACCAAGCTGCTTGCCTATTGTCCTGTAGCCCATCCCAGCCTTGTGCAGGTCTACAATTTTATCCCTGATGTCCTTACACAGCTCTCTGGTCTTGGCCATTGTGGAGAGGTTGGAGTCTGTTTGATTGAGTGTGTGGACAGGTGTCTTTTATACAGGTAACGAGTTCAAACAGGTGCAGTTAATACAGGTAATGAGTGGAGAACAGGAGGGCTTCTTAAAGAAAAACTAACAGGTCTGTGAGAGCCGGAATTCTTACTGGTTGGTAGGTGATCAAATACTTATGTCATGCAATAAAATGCAAATTAATTACTTAAAAATCATACAATGTGATTTTCTGGATTTTTGTTTTAGATTCCGTCTCTCACAGTTGAAGTGTACCTATGATAAATATTACAGACCTCTACATGCTTTGTAAGTAGGAAAACCTGCAAAATCGGCAGTGTATCAAATACTTGTTCTCCCCACTGTATATATAAAAACATTAAAATATATATATTATCAATCATGTAAATGTTGGTCGAAAATGTGCCTTTTACGGCTATACAGGAGCCTGTTATCACAGCTAATGATGAGAACCGTTTGAATTAAATCAGCTACTTGGCTGGTGAATGCCATTTGGTAGGCTGTTTCACAAAAGTTACAAATGTTGTACAAAAGTAACACTCTACATGGGTTGGGTTACTGGAAAGATAAATGTGAAGAACAATTACTTGTTGAGCTCTGGGAAATTCCTGTACACTATGTACATGACAGAAGCCGCGCAGGTGAAGATAGACAGCAGGATGAGGAGAGACATGCGAGCTGAGCCCCCTCCAGTGTATTGTGTCTCTGTGGAGAGGAGAGTAGCTAAGTTATATAGCACACACAGTCACCAAATTAAAAACACCTTGATAAGCCTCTATTCTTCTGTTACAACAGCAGTAAGCCTCATGTAATGTCTTGCTTCACTTTGCATCACTTGTTGTTCTAGTTCCTGGTTGATTTCCCCAGAGTACATGAAGCATGCTATGTAGTCAAACCATTCAAGATATATAATCCTTGAAACTGACTACATGTATTCTAACTTTGATGAGGAACATACAGTGCCCTCCACTATTATTGGCACCCCTGTTTAAGATGTGGTCGAGGACTTCCAAAAATTCTCTTTTTTTTTTTAAACAACATAGAACCCAAATGCAAAAAAAGAGAAAAATCCAACCTTTTATTTAAGTACATTACTTTGGTGGTAAAAAAAAAAATCACACATTTAGAAAAAAAATTACTTGAAATCATGTGTCCCACAATTATTGGCACCCCTAACAATTCCGCTGAAAATTTTAATTGATTTTTTTTAAAATATATTTTTCTGTAGTTGCTCAAGTTGGTCAGGGTATCTAGGAACTTTTAATTAGTAATTCATGACTTCCTGTTTCCCTGGGGTATAAATATGACGTGACACAGAGGCCTAATTCTCTTACCCATTTGTCAACATGGCAAAGACAAGAGAACACACCATTCAAGTAAGGCAGATTTGTGTCGACCTTCATAAGTCAGGCAATGGCTACAAGAAAATAGCCACTCGCCTTAACTTGCCCGTATCTACAGTCAGAGGAATCATTAAGAAGTTTAAAACAACTGGAACAGTGACAAACAAGGCTGGAAGAGGTCCCAAGTTTATCTTGCCACAACGCACAGTGAGGAGGATGGTAAGAGAAGTAAAAAAAAGTCCTAAGCTCACTGTCACAGAATTGCATCAAAGAGTGGCATCTTGGGGTCACAAAGTCTCCAAAACAACCATCAGACGCTCTCTACATGCCAACAAGCTGTTTGGGAGGCATGCAAGGAAAAAGCCTTTTCTCACTAACACTCACAAACGTAAACGTCTGGAGTTTGCTAAGCGGCACTGGGACTTCAACTGGGATCGTGTGCTTTGGTCAGATGAGACTAAGATTGAGCTTTTTGGCAACAAACACTCTAAGTGAGTCTGGCGTAAAACAAAAGATGAGTATGCCGAAAAGCACCTCATGCCCACCGTGAAGTATGGTGGAGGATCTGTGATGCTGTGGGCCTGTTTCTCTTCCAAAGGCCCTGGGAACCTTGTTAGGGTGCATGGCATTATGAACGCTTTGAACTACCAGGACATTTAAAATCAAAACCTGATGGCCTCTGCCAGAAAGCTGAAGATGGGTCGTCATTGGGTCTTTCAGCAGGATAATGATCCAAAACATGTGGCAAAATCTACACAAAAATGGTTCAGCAGTCACAAACTCAAGGTCCTCCCATGGCCATCTCAGTCCCCAGACCTCAACCCAATCGAAAACCTGTGGGGCGAGCTAAAGAGGAGAGTGCATAAGAGAGGACCCAGGACGATCTAGAAAGATTGTGCAAAGAAGAATGGTCAAAGATCCCTCTCTCTGTGTTCTCCAATCTTGTGAAATGTTATAGGAGGAGATTAAGTGCTGTCTTGTTGGCAAAAGGGGGTTGTACAAAGTATTAACATCAGGGGTGCCAATAATTGTGGGACACATGATTTCAAGTTTTTTTTTTTCTAAATGTGTGATTATTTTTTTTTACACCAAAGTAATGTACTTAAATAAAAGGATGGATTTTTCTCTTTTTTTGCATTTGGGTTCTATGTTGTTTAAAAAAAAAAGGAGAATTTTGGAAGTCCTCGACCACATCTTAAACAGGGGTGCCAATAATTGTGGAGGGCACTGTATCTGCCTGTTATCACAAATGACTCCAAGCTTATCTGTTTAGTGTGTATTGTGTAACATCCTGTTATGGTAATTGTGTTGCTCCATCTATATAAGAATAACATTACATGGTTAGACTACTAATATTTTCCTGGCTTCAACCCAGTGGTTCTACCATTGACATTGATTAACATTAGTAACTTAATGTCAAACTGGGTATGGCACCTGACAGTGGCTGACCGTGGCTGGATAGATAGCAAGCTACTAAGTTACTAACCTGATCATGTGAATTTCAACCAAAGATACTGGTAACTAACCCATTTTGTCTGTGCTTCAACTCCGTCATACCACCAGCCTTGAAAGCAAGCAACTTCTGAATCTTGATAATGAGCTAGCTGTTACTTAGCTAACGCTGACTGACATATCCGCATTTCGCAATCATCTGGCTGGTTATCAAGCTGGCTAGCAACATTATTTAACAAGACGTCTACCACACCATAGAAACAGTCATATATTTTAAAGTTAGCTAATCAATTAGCAGAACACACGTAAGTTTGCTAGCTATACTAGCCAGTTAGCCGGGATAGCAACGTCGTTAGCTATACCTACCTTTGAGGGTTTGTGCCTCGTAACATTTTGACTTCGGTTCTTCGTGTAACGTTACTGACGAAACACTATCGGCCTCTCGTCTTTCTCTTCTTTTCTTGGCCATGTCCGCTTATTAAATTAAGATATCGAGCTAGCTACACCGACCTCGGGTGTAATACACCGTGCTTCTGTCAAAAGTTGAAAGTAAGTGACGAGAGACCGCTTTGCCAACCGGCGACTAGGAAATTGACACATTCCCACAGGCCTTGAACCTTTTCGGAGTTTGTTTATCTAGCTTTTCCCCACAGTGCCCCCATGCGGCACCCTGTATTTCCAAAACAATGTTACAGCAGCACGGCGTTTAGTGTTTATGTAGTATATTATTGTCGTTTTTACAGTAGTAGTAATATTAGTAGCTTTCATTTATGTGACTAAGTTTTCAATACAACAGCTAGATGTTGATTGTTCTCTGATGTTATGTCATCCACATCATCATGAAAGATGGTGCTGAAAACTTCAAATCAACTTGCCAACTGCAATGACAAGCTTATATTTTGTTCTCATTATCAGCAGTGTCTTTATTTACTGACTGTAAGACAATGTGAGAGCGATATCACAAATGTAAAACTACAACTCCTAGAGTGCAATATTTCGAAGCGGATGTACGTGTTGGAGAAATTTGGCGCTGATCTATCCGGGTACTTCATTCACTTCTTCCTTTCGCGCCGGTAACTGAAGAGCCGTGCGTCCATGTGCGCATTTACTGGGAATTCATAGACCACAGAAATACTGAATCCGAGCCATACCAGATTTAGCTATGGATCCTAACGTGTTGATCGAGGCCCTTCGGGGGACCATGGACCCAAACTTGCGTGAGGCCGCGGAGAGACAGCTGAACGAGGTAAAAACTTGGGGGTGGTGGTTGTGGCGTGGATCGGGCCTCTGTTCTGTTGTGTCACACATCAAGATGGAATGGAGTCCTCATAGCTTGTGATCATGGGAGACCAGAGTCGGTCCAGAACTTTGACAGATCAAATATTCTCTTCGACATATATATTCACCGAAACATATCAGACTTTTGACGTTACGGGTGTTATTTCATAGTTTCCTATTATATTTTAACGTCAAGATCGGCGAATCCACCCCGTAAACCCTCAGCTGGTTCTTTAAAAACGTGCGGGAAGTTAGCATTAGCTTCCTTGATAATTAGCTACTAGCTAGCTACGCAGTAAAAAGCCTTGTTGGACGATGCTTGCTAGTTAGCTTTTGGCCTAGATGATGTATCAATGTTTGAATCGTTGGCAAGACCAATTATGCCATTATTTATACCAGTTTTGTCTAAACTAACTAAATCATGCGATCTAGTATACGAGTGTAACTACCGTTTGCTAAAAGTCCGAAAATCTTTGTTAGCAAGTTGGCTAAGTGCCTCACGTGTCAGGTGTTTTTTTTTTTACTGCTGACATTGCCCAGCAGTAGTGCTAACTAGCTAGTCCGTTGAACTTAGCTAACTAAATAAACTAGTTGGCCAGCCAAAATGTCACCAATCGGACATATTGACAGGCGTAACATTAGTTAGGAAAGTAGTTTGATGATAAACGCTTGACTATCATTATAAATGTACGTCTAATAGGCGATAGTAGCTGTTGGATTATTATTTAGTTTGCTGGCTTTGCCTTTAATGAACGTAGCTAACTAGCAAGCTAACTGCTACTTGCTAACTAGCTAGGTAGGTTTGATTTATCGAACGCTAGTTAACTTGCAATACACAACGTAAACAATAGCAATCATTAATAATAGTTACGTATTTAGTAAAGGGTGTAGTAACGGGGCAAACGTGTTGTTTGTACCTCAGTAGTAAAGCCAAAGGGAAAAGCGAATGTTCGCTAGCTAGCGCTACGTTCCATCAATTAAATTGAGTCATTCGATGAGCTGTCCGCGTGCGCAGATAATTTCGCGAATGTTAGCTAACTATTTTATTTGCTAAGGTTATGCGCAACATGGCCTATTATCATTATCTAGATGTCGACTTCATGTCAAATGTATACGTGCCATAGCTAACTAACATATACGGACGGCGTGAATTCTTGCATGGTCACATAGTTAGCTATGTTTCGCTCGCGACGTGAAAAGCTAGCTAGTAGTAGGAAGTCTCTCTTGGGCAAGTGTCAAGTATACTCTGGTCTGTTAATGGCTGTGCTATCCTTAGAACAATAGATGTACGGTGTTGTCGTGAAACTGGGGTTTGAGTGACCTTTAAGTCAAGTTGTTATTTCTGTGATATGTTCATATTGTGTGTCATCAGCTCGATAACGTATTATTAGGTAACTTTAGTTTGATAAGAGTAGGCCTAGTCAGGCTCAAAAATAAAATGTACATGAACTTCTCCACTCAACAATCTGAGGTCGTTGTTTTGGTTTTCGTGACAACAGAATATACAAAGGCCAGAATTTAAATTCACAGAACAAGAATGTGCTGTTGGATTGTTTGATCTGAGTCATGTTGTGCGGTATCCAGGGAGAGGTTGCGGAGTGCATTGGTATCTACAGGCAAAGGAGGGGATGAGGCTATTTTTCCTCGCTTACATTTGACTCATCTGGAGCAGTTAAACCTAAACAGTATTCACTTAAAATAGCAAGTGATAGAAGGGGGGGTGGGGCAAATCATTGAGACCCATTTTCATTCCCTTTATGTGATCAATGATTCTGGAAAAAGTATGTTGCACTCTTGTGTGTACTGGATATCTTAAGTTTGATCATTATTAGCGAGTGTCTAGAGAAGAGGAGAGGTGACACATTCACTGTTGATTGATTGGATGCCAACGCTGCATCAACCTGTTGCATCAAGGTTTCTTAAACTCTCATGTGGCATTCTTAAGTAGCTGTAGTGTATAAACTGCAGCTAATGGAGCTCCATGCCTCAACATAATGGTTAGATGGCATTACTGTCATCTTTGGCATGTAATCTACTTGGCAAGGAATAGAGAGGAATGCCATGTCACACTTTGCCTACTTGCAAATAGTACATGGTAGTCTGATAGCAATTCCCTAAAAACCTGACACTGTCTGCATTATCCCTAATTGAGAATAGTTTAAGTTCAGCCATTTAGACCTATACATCCAAATGAATAAAGCATATACATCCAAATGAACAAGGCAGGCACAGTCATCATACCCAGGTAAAATGGCAAAATCCTCCTGTTTTTTACTTGATCTGCAGTTGGTAAGACTGACCCATGGTTCTTATTAAATGGCTCAAGATGTATACATTGTTTGTTTTGCTGATATGTAGGTCAAATACACATCAGGGTTTGATATTCATGCATCCTTTTCTGCTTTCATTTACAGGGTCACACCCAGGTGAATTTTGTGTCTGCTTTGCTGCAAGTCACCATGTCTGATCAGTTGGATTTGCCCGTCAGACAAGCAGGTGAGTTTTTCAGAGGATGGGTAGATATTATGATGATGTGGGGCGGGGTGGGGTTTCGGGCTCTCTTGCAGATGGAACTTCACCAGAAGAGTATCTACACCCGTAGCTCAAATGAACTGAGCACACTTTCTCAAAGATGATCCCTGCCCTGACTGCCACAGCTCCCTCACTGATGACACCAGTCATATTGTGAAAAGACTGACCAATTTCCCCTGAACTTGTACATTTGTGCACCGACATACACACACTATAGAAATATCTGTTTTTTTTGTGGTATATTATGCCATCTTTATTATGCTACCTTTGCATTGACATTGAGATTTCACACTTCTTTTAGTCTGCTAGAGAGCTCTAGTGAAATCTATAATCGCTCGGTCTGGACATTCTGCCTTGGTACAGCTGCCCTTGTTATAAAAGAACATTCCACACGTTTGAGATGCTCCGTGTGAGGGGCTGTTGATAGCCTGTCCATGTGTCACACATGCTTCTCTGGTAATGATGTGCAATTATATGGTAGGAAGATCTGCTCTTGATCAGTGGCTCATTGACTTTTATTACATTTAAAATATGTGTGCAGTCCTCAAGTGGCTGCCAGACAGAGCCTGTCATTTTCAACCTGCTGCTAGCCTCCACACTAGCATATTCAATTGTGCTCACTCATAGCATCATGTTCTAACTTCTATCTTGCAACTTCGTCAGTTCTTCTACATTGTAGCTTGCTTCAACAACACCATAGTAATGTGACAGTCTGGAGAAAAGTCTAACATGGCAGCAGCCCATCCTGCCTTATGCAGTGGGTGCTAATCTGTGTGCCTCTTGTCAAGCAGATGACCAGGAACTGGTGTGTTGAGCAGAAATGCTATCCTTCAATCTTGTGAATGTGCTATTTGGCCTGCCATAGAGCCCTGCTGCACCTGACTCTGATTCAGACGGTTTTGCATTAAGTGAATGCAGCTGCAGTACCTGCAGTGGTGGCACGGGATAGATCATAGCTGGCATGCCATTGGGTAACAGAGGCTTACACGTTGGCTTGGCACCTGTCCCCAGGAGAGCCACAGGAACTTCCCATTCGGCACTTTGGCCCGTCGTGCCGTGGTAATGAGTCTCATTTGCTGTAATCTGACACACAAAGGGAGGAGCCAAGCGATTCCACAGCCAGTTATCAGCCAGCAGGCAAATGCCAGGGATTCCAGAGGGCTTCCCATAAAGGCAGTGAGTTCAGACCCAGGTCCCTCTCCTATTGAGGACAAATGTCCGCCTGCTTATGACAGATAATAGCATTTTTTGTCATGGTTTGTTTCTTTTTTCAAACCTGTCATACTGATATTATAGGCAATTGCATTATTTGCAATTTCAGGGATCATCTATTCCCTGCCTCAATGTGTGGTCTATTGGGATGTTGAGTAGTGGACTGTGTTGGGCTGGGCAGAGGGGCACAGTAATGGGGAGGGGAGTACAGTAGTGGGGTTGTGAGGGTCTCGCTGTGTCAGCACTGACTGGCAGGATTATGACTTCCCAGCCAGCAGCACGGTGATCACATCTGTGTCAGCAGTCTGATGTCTGAACCCCCCATCAACCGCCTCGCCTGCCCCTATTCAACCGCCTCGCCTGCCCCAATTCAACCGCCTCGCCTGCCCCTATTCAACCGCCTCGCCTGCCCCCCATCAACCGCCTCGCCTGCCCCTATTCAACCGCCTCGCCTGCCCCTATTCAACCGCCTCGCCTGCCCCTATTCAACCGCCTCGCCTGCCCCAATTCAACCGCCTCCCCCTCAGCCCGTCAACCGTCTCACCGTGCCTGTGAGCCACTGACCTCAGAGACACTCCATTGTTGCTCTGTAGAACAATTAACACCTGTACTACAAATTCAGACTCACTGTCTGAGCTACAACACGGGAGGGGGAACCATTGCAATCCCCTAACTAAATTACACTTTTACACCTCTGTTCTATGACTCACTCAAGGAGTTAGGCCTCTTTCTGCTGCTCTGCTCTGATTTTATCAGTTGAAGATGGAGGCAGAGATGTGAGCTGTAATTCTAGGGGGCAGTGGACGGATGAATATTTGAGTGACTTCTTGCTTGGATGGGGAGTGCTAATGAACAGGGACATGCTATTGTGTTGAGGCTGAGAGGAGAGGTGTGGGCTCTTAAAGGGGCCCAAAAGCACCCCTCTTCCTCACCCGGCCGACTGCTACTCCCTCTCAACCTGAGCACATGAGAGGAGCCACAGTGAATGTGCTGGTCATGGGATCCGCTGCTGCTGCTATCTAAGCTGATGGACTCTTTCACATCATCCAATGTCACACTGACTCACTCTTAACAATTCAGAGCTCTCCCTGATGTAAAGTGATTTTAAAGAGATGTGGATAGTATTGTGCCACTTTAACCAGCTGCAATTCCATGGAAATCCATAGGAATTGGAAGGGTTCAATTTAAACCCCATGGTCAAAGCAGATTTTACTTTCATATCATACAATTTGCATGAATTAAATCTAAGTGGGTGGAATACCAGCTGTACATTAAGCCTGCCATAGAATTACATACAGTACATTCGGAAAGTATTCAGACCCCTTCCCTGTTTCCACATTTTGTTACATTACAGCCTTATTCTAAAATTGAGTAAATATAAACATTTCCTCATCAATCTACACACAATACCCGATAATGACAAAGCGAAAGTTTCGAAAGTTATTCAAATTTTAAAAAAAAACATAGGGTATCTATTCAAACCCATTGCTATGAAACTCCTTGAAATTGAGCTCGGGTGCATCCTGTGTCCATTGGTCATCCTTGATGTTTCTACAACTTGATTGGAGAGCCTGTGGTAAATTGATTGGACATGATTTGGAAAGGCACACACATCTATATAAGGACCCACAGTTGACAGTGCATGTCAGAGCAAAAACTAAGCCATGAGGTCGAAGGAATTGTCCATAGAGCTCCGAGACAGGATTGTGTCGATGCACAGATCTGGGGAAGTTTGGAACCACCAAGACTCTTCCTAGAGCTGGCCGCCTGGCCAAACTGAGCAATCGGGGGAGAAGGGCCTTGGTCAGGGAGGTGACCAAGAACCCGATTGGTCACTCTGACAGAGCTCCAGAGTTCCTCTGTGTAGATGAGAACCTTCCAGAAGGCCAACCATCTCTCTGCACTACCCCAATCAGGCCTTTATGGTAGAGTGGCCAGATAGAAGCCACTCCTCAGTAAAAGGCACATGACCGCCTGCTTGGAATTTGCCAAAAGTCACCTAAAGGACCCAGACCATGAGAAACAAGATTCTCTGGTCTGATGAAACCAAGATTGAACTCTTTGGCCTGAATGCCAAGTGTCACGTCTGGAGGAAACCAGGCACCGCTCATCACCTGGCCAATACCATCCCTACGTTGAAGCATGGTGGCAGCATCATGCTGTGGGGATGTTTGTCAGCGGCAGGGACTGGGAGACTAGTCAGGATCAAGGGAAAGATGAATGGAGCAAAGTACAGAGAGATCCTTGATGAAAACCTGCTCCAGAGCGCTCAGGACATCAGACTGGGGTGAAGGTTCACCTTCCAACAGGACAATGACCCTAAGCACACAGCCAAGACAAAGCAGGAGTGGCTTCGGGACAAGTCTCAATGTCCTTGAGGGGCCCAGCCAGAGCCCGGACTTGAACCAGATCGAACAACTCTGGAGAGACCTGAAAATAGCTGTGCAGTGACGCTCCCCTTCCAACCTGACAGCTTGAGAAGATCTGCAGAGAAGAATGGGAGAAACTCCACAAATACAGGTGTGCCAAGCTTGTAGCGTCATACTCTAGAAGACTTGAGGCTGTAATCGCTGCCAAAAGTGCTTCGACAAAGTACTGAGTAAAGGGTCTGAATACTTATGTTAATGTCATATTTCAGTTTTTTATTTTTAGTAAATGTGCAAACATTTCTAAACCTGTTTTTGATTTGTCATTATGGGGTATTGTTTGTAGATTGATGAGGGGGAAAAAACAAATCAATTTTAGAATAAGGCTGTAACGTAACAAAGTGGAAAAAGTTAAGGGGTCTGAATACTTTCCGAATGCACTATATAATCCATTTTTAATAGGATCTCTATGAAGCCTGTCTTATGTTCAAACAGTTGATTGATTGTCCCCCTCTCCCCTCCCCAGGGGTGATCTACCTGAAGAACATGGTGACCCAGCACTGGAGCGAGGGAGACGGCATCAGCACGGAGACGCCTGTCAATAACATTCCCGAGGAGGACAGGCAGTTCATCCGTGACAACATCGTGGAGGCCATCATCCACTCCCCCGAGCGCATCAGGTAACCGACCGCCCTGTGGCTGATCTGCTCACTGCACAGCGCCTGCGGAGGGGGGGGTAGGGGTAGCTCGGATCAACCAGATCGTCTTCCAACCTCTTTCTCCTCTCTCTTCAACCCTTCAGAGTGCAGTTGACGACATGCATCCACCACATGATTAAGCACGACTACCCCGGCAAGTGGACGGCCATTGTGGACAAGATTGGCTTCTACCTGCAGTCAGATAACAGCGCCGGCTGGCTGGGCATCCTGCTCTGCCTCTACCAGCTGGTGAAAAACTACGAGTAAGGACTCCTTGTTATAGAGTGACTGTTTGTGTCCCAAAAGGCACCATTTAGGGAATGGGGTGCCATTTGGGACACAGACAGTATTATAGAGCTGTTTGCTGTATCTTCGGGTGGCTGATGTTTCTGATTGTGTGTTTGACAGGTACAAGAAGCCGGACGAGCGCAGTCCTCTGGTGGCGGCCATGCAGATCTTCATGCCCATGCTGAAGGACCGCTTCATCCAGCTGCTCCCTGACCCCTCCAGTGAATCTGTCCTGGTGCAAAAACAGATCTTCAAGATCCTCTACGCCCTCTTCCAGGTACTACTGACCACATCCTTCATTCTCACCGTCTTAGAAGTTAAGTGTATATATTAGTCTGTGTTGATTGTAGGGTATTTGTCTAAATGTGGATGTATAGCTGTAGTGTCCATTTATTTAGCTACTCCTTCCATAATACTGGCTTTGGAGACGGGTCGATTATGGTTGTCCTGTAGTCCCACACTGTAAAGCATGGTTGGCAGCATAGAGGAGGGGGAGGGCTGAGGACCATCTGGTCCAAGTGGGCTTCTTCTGCTGGCTGTCATGTGGGCCACTGGGCAAGACCTGTCCCCCCTCAGCATGCCAGACTGCACTGCTGTATAGTGTTTTTTGTCTGTCAATTGGAACGACAATTAAGCTTTTTGAATTGAACGGACGGGATTTCTCTCCTTTTCTCTGTCCACAGTATAACCTCCCCCTGGAGTTGATCAACCGACAGAACCTGACGGAGTGGATGGAGATCCTGAAGACAGTGGTGGACAGAGACGTGCCTCCGGTGAGGGCAGATTTACTGTGGTAGGGCAAGGAGGGGAGCACAAATAGGTTGACTATGCAAATCAAGTAGCTCCCAAACAGATTAGCTGTAGTTTGTGTGTGCTTTATTTTATTGCTGCTAGTTGAAACAAAGCTGATTGCCACCCCCCTCCTCCCCCGTCTGTGCCTTACAGGAGACCTTGCAGGTGGATGAGGACGAGAGACCTGAGCTGCCCTGGTGGAAGTGTAAGAAGTGGGCCCTCCACATCCTGGCCAGGCTCTTCGAGAGGTAAGCCTACTCAACCCACCCCAGCACATTGTCACTGATTCTACACTGAGTGTACAAAACATGAGACTGACCAGGTGAAAGTGAATCCCTTAATGATGTCACTTGTTAAATCCACTTCAATCAGTGTAGATGGAGGGGAAGCGACAAGTTAAAGAGGATTTTTAAGCCTTGAGACATGGATTGTGTATGTGTGCCATTCAGAGGGTGAATGGGCAAGACAAAATATTTTAAGTGCCTTTTGAACGGGGTATGGTGGTAGGTGCCAGGCGCACCAGTTTGAGTGCGTCAAGAACTGCAACGCTACTGGGTTTCTCACACTCAACAGTTTCCCGTGTGTATCAAGAATAGTCCACCACCCAAAGGACATCCCAGCCAACTTGACACAACTGTGGGAAGCATTGGAGTTGACATGGGCCAACATCCCTGTGGAACGCTTTCGACACCTTGTAGTCCATGCCCCAACGAATTGAGGCTGTTCTGAGGGAAGGTATTCCTAATGTTTTGTACACTCAGTGTATGTAGCTGAGAGTCACAAATCTAACCCATAAAAGCACCATTAAATGTTTGTATACTGAACAAAAATATAAAGACAACTTGTAAAGTGTTAGTCCCATGTTTCATAAGCTGAAATAAAAGATCCCAGAAATGTTCCATGCCCACGAAAAGCTTACTTCTCTCAAGTGTTGTTAGTGAGCATTTCTCCTTTGCCAAGATTATCCATGCACCTGACAGGTGTGGCATATCAAGAAGCTGATTAAACAGCATGATCATTACCTGTCAGGTAGATGGATTATCTTGGCAAAGGAGAAATGCTCACTAGCAGGGATGTAAACAAATTTGAAGAGAGAAAAGCATTTTTGTGGTTATGGAACATTTCTTCAATCTTTAATTTCAGCTCATGAAACATGGGACCGACACTTCAAATGTTGGGTTTATATTTTGGTTCAGTGTATATTAACCTGTGAAAGCCTCTTTCCAACCCCTCCCAGGTATGGCAGCCCAGGCAACACTACCAAAGAGTACACAGAGTTTGCCGATCTCTTCCTCAAGGGATACGCTGTGGCAGCACAGCAGGTGAGCGCCCAAGGCCGCCTCTTGGCTTTGTCTGAGCTGAAAGATGTGTGCGACGCATGACTCTGTGATTGACTGAGGGACAGAAGGTTGCCTTTCAACTGTGTCTGTCTGCCTGGGAGTCTGATCTCAACCACAGGGAACTGATCTGTCTGTCTGTGTAGGTGCTGCTGAAGGTCTTATATCAGTACAAGGAGAATCAATACGTGGCTCCCAGAGTCCTCCAGCAGACACTCAACTATATTAACCAGGGAATCGCACACGCTGTCACCTGGAAGAACCTCAAGCCACATATCCAGGGCATCATTCAGGATGTGGTTTTCCCTCTCATGTGCTACACGGACAGTGACCAGGAGTTGTGGGAGGAGGACCCATACGAGTACATCCGCATGAAGTTTGGTAAGAACCATTCTTGTTTTTGAAAAGCAGAGAAATATTCTGTAGTGTTTGTCATCCAAAAGGAATGTCCTGGAATCAGAGACTCTGCCTGGATGTGGTCAGTTAAAAGATGTAACTGTGTAAACCTATTCTAACAAACCAATGCAATGTGCCATCTGATCTGCTGACTCTGCTCTCTCTGTCCTGTCTCAGATGTGTTCGAGGACTTCATCTCTCCCACCACGGCCGCCCAGACCCTGCTCTTCACCTCCTGCAACAAGAGGAAAGAAGTGAGTTGTGGTTCTGATGTGAAAGCTGGGGCCTCCTGGTCCTGGCACAGTCAATAGCCAGCCATGATGTGATCCTGGTTCCATCCCAAATGGCACCCTATTCCCTATATAGTGCACTACTTTTTTTCAGAGCCGTGAGAATAGGGTGGCATTTGGGACGCACGCCCTGTGTTTTTGCTGGCCTCCCTCCTGCCCTTGTTTATGGCCCGGCCCACTCCTCCTTCCTGCCCGTCCCTCATTAGCACCCTGTTGCTCCAACAACAGTACAGAGCTGTTGGAACGGGTCTGTGGACGTGTCGAGCCAGGCGAACACTGGAAAATAAAGGAGCATAGCTGAAAGAAAGCAGGACTTTTAGTTGCTCTAACTCCTTAGTCTTTCTGTTCTAAATGTAATGTATTGTTTTAGCATGGAGGAAGTTATATTCCGTTTTGGCTGTGGGTGAACGGTGTGCGTGGTGCCTGTCCATGTTACGTGCTGCCGTCTGGCTGTGTCTTACAGTCTGTGCGGCGGTGCTCACTCCACACCTGCAGCCATAGAGCCACTGGAGATCATAGTACTGACCTGTGACGTCTCTGACTCCTCACCACGGGCCAGCCTCCATACTCTCCCACAAACTCTCCTGGGTTACATCTCAAATGGTACCCTATTCCCTACATAGTGCACTACCCCATGGGCCCTGGACAAAAGTAGTGCACTATACATGGATTAGGGTGCCATTTTGGACGTATCCGAGGTGCTTGATGTTAATGTGAAACAGTTAGCCAGGATACACAGAGAAGCAGCACATTTGACTGAATGCATTTCTTTATTCTCTAGGTTCTTCAGAAGACCATGGGCTTCTGTTATCAGATCCTTACTGAGCCCACCTCTGACCCCAGGAAGAAGGACGGAGCGCTGCACATGATTGGCTCTCTGGCTGAAATCCTGCTCAAGGTGATGAACCCTACACCACCTGCTATCTCCTCTTTTCTTGTTGACCTTTGGTCTGACCATATACTCATCAGATGAGGTAGCTGACACTGTGTAACTATGTTACAACTTTGTTTTATTACTTATTTAAGTTTAATTTATGGATCCCACACACATACATCAAATACATTACTGAAATTCATGGTTATTAACAAAAATGCATTTCTCTTCCTCCCCCCAAACAGAAAAAGGTCTATAAAGACCAGATGGAGTTCATGCTGCAGAACCACGTCTTCCCTCTGTTCCGCAGTGAGCTGGGTTACATGAGAGCCAGAGTAAGTGTCACGTTGCCAGATCATTCTGACCCAGGGCTCTAGTGGGGAGAAATGGAGAGCATGTGTATCAAGAATATTAATGACAATGATTTGGTAAAACACCAGTGCTTTCCCTTACTGCAGTGGCTTTTCACATCTTGATAGGTCTAGGTAGAAATTCTAGATTTAGGAGAATTCAGCAACAGTATAGCCTGTTTGTTTACTGTTCTGCACTGGTTAACTGTATTAACCACCATCTCTGGTGTTTCCCCATAGGCCTGTTGGGTCCTGCATTACTTCTGTGAGGTCAAGTTTAAGAGTGACCAGAACCTGCAGACAGCCCTGGAGCTGACCCGCCTCTGCCTGATCAACGACAACGAGATGCCTGTTAAAGTGGAGGCAGCCATCGCCCTGCAGGTCCTCATCAGCAACCAGGAGAAAGGTAGCTAGCTATCTCCACTGTCAGACTCAGAAACACACAATAGGTGTATATGGAGTATTTCTCTTTGCTGTATAACATTAAAGGTTATGTTTTTCTTGAATCAAAATGATATAGCTGATGATCACTAAGTGCTCCTCTTCCCTGTTTTTCCTCTTCCCTAGCCAAAGAGTATATCACTCCCTTCATCCGGCCTGTGATGCAGGCCCTCCTGCACATTGTGCGTGAAACGGAGAATGATGACCTCACCAACGTCATCCAGAAGATGATCTGCGAGTACAGCGAAGAAGTCACCCCCATCGCCGTGGAGATGACACAGCACTTGGTGAGGAGTGTGTGTGCTCAGTGCCTGACTCAATAAAAGGCCCGGAGCAGGAAGTCACCTTCCTTTGATCAGTTTACAGATCCGTTTGACAGCCATGGAGAGAGGAAATAAGGTCCAATTACCATCTCTCCTAGTTCCATGTTGGTCTGGTCATAAAGACCCTGCTCTCAGGGAAACCCACTTATGGCTGTTATTCCCCTGTCTCTCCCCAGGCTATGACCTTCAACCAGGTCATCCAGACGGGGCCTGACGAGGAGGGAGGAGACGACAAGGCGGTGACAGCCATGGGCATCCTCAACACTATCGACACACTGCTCAGTGTGGTGGAGGACCACAAAGAGGTGAGTACAGCCATGGTGTCCTGTCCAGGGGGTGTACTTGTACATCAAGCTGCCTCACGCTACGTAAACAGGATATGGGCTCCTGCCCTATTGGCCATTCTGGTATTTACTTAGTCATTCAACCAAACACCCACCCCCTCCCAGCTCAACTCATAGCGCTGCCTGCCTGCCGACACACTTCCAGCTGCCCACCCGCTCCTGGGAACACACACTGTTCTCTGGCTGTTCTCTCTTCAAAGTGCTTTGCAGGCTGATGCCTCTAGAAATAGCACTGTGGCTCTCTGCCCGTACGTCCGCCTAGGCACAGGACCGTGGATGCTTGGAACCAGCCAGAACAGAAAATGTTGGTCAACAGTTGGAGTCATGAGTTAGATATATCTTCTTGGTATACTACTCTCATGGTTGTTGACTGTGTAAACTAAAGCGATCAGCTGTTGATTTATGAAGTTGTGTTCATCAGTGTGCCAAAGGTATTTGGTTTTCTGGAAATGACTTGCACAATGAAATCCTCAAATCTACACAGAGTCTTGCAACACCATGTACGTTCATCGTGAATCTCTGTCTCTGTGTGAGTGTTGTGTTCCAGTGCTCTAATTAAATGAATGGGGTTTCTGTTTTAGATCACCCAGCAGCTGGAGGGCATATGTCTGCAGGTGATCGGCACCGTCCTGCAGCAGCACGTCCTGGGTATGTCTCCCTTGCTCTTCCTGTCCCACCACATTCCAACCGGGTCCTCCCGTCTCTGACACGTGCAAGTGGGCGAGGTGCCTAGCGTAATTTACATAACTGACTCACTCTGTGGTGTTTTCCTATATTTACTGTCTGACACCCTGCCTGTGTTGATTTTCCAACAGAGTTCTACGAGGAGATCCTGTCTCTGGCCCACAGCCTGACCTGCCAGCAGGTGTCCCCACAGATGTGGCAGCTCCTCCCCTTGGTGTTCGAGGTCTTCCAGCAGGATGGCTTTGACTACTTCACAGGTATACTGCACACCAACCTGGGACTCTTGACTTTGCCTGTTTGCCGGAAATTTGACTATTATATAGACACACTCTATTAAATGGTGACTCTGTTTCAGACATGATGCCTCTCCTTCACAACTATGTCACGGTTGACACAGACACTCTCCTGTCTGACACTAAATACCTGGAGATTATCTACAGCATGTGCAAGAAGGTACAGTAACTTACAGCCACTGTGTTTATGTGTTCACACATTATATTGGAGGTGTGTATTTCTGCTTGGTGGGAACAGGTTAATAATCTGTTCTCCATGCAGGTTCTGACGGGCGATCCAGGTGAGGATCCAGAGTGTCATGCAGCCAAGCTGCTAGAGGTGGTTATTCTGCAGTGCAAAGGGCGTGGAATTGATCAGGTAAGCGTCTGGCTTCTACACTAAATCTTGTATGGCTGCGACTGTATTAAATCTTATTTGAGTGTGTTGAATATCAAACTAACCGCTTTTGAGAAGCACTGTACTATACATTTACCTTTGCTGTTCTTTGCCGCTCCTGCAGGTTGTTCCCTTGTTTGTGGCGGCTGCACTGGAGAGGCTGACGAGGGAGGTGAAGACCAGTGAGCTGAGGACCATGTGTCTGCAAGTGGCCATCGCTGCCCTCTACTACAGCCCCCCTCTGCTGCTCAACACCCTGGAGAACCTGCGCTTCCCAAACAACACTGAGCCCATCACCAACCACTTCATCTCCCAGTGGCTCAAAGACGTTGACTGCTTCCTCGGGTAAGACCATGAAAGATGCTCACGTTCAATATATTTACATCTCGTCTGGTTTCTCTGGTCCCCCATATAGTTTGATATCAAGTAGAGAAAAAACATGTGCAGTAAGATCATATTTTTATGTTATCCCCCCAGGCTCCACGATAGGAAGATTTGTGTGCTTGGCCTGTGTGCCCTCATTGACTTGGAACAGAGGCCCCAGGCTGTCAACCAGGTGGCTGGCCAGCTGCTCCCTGCAGCCATCCTACTCTTCAACGGCCTCAAGAGGGCCTACGCCTGTCAAGCAGAGAACGAGAATGAGGATGAAGATGATGATGAAGATGGAGAGGAGGATGAGGAGAATGGTACAGCATTTGTGCTGTCCTCTGAACTAATAAGTCCCATTGACACTCCCTTATTTAATCTTCCTACTACAGTAAATGGAATAAGATACAGCTACAAGGAGCACTTCATTGGTAGATGGTTTGAGTTGTTAGTAGATTGATCAGTAATAAATGAATCCATTGTGCCTTTCCTCAGTCGAGCTGGGCAGTGATGAAGATGACATTGATGAGGAGGGCCAGGAGTACCTGGAGATGCTGGCCAAGCATGCAGGAGAGGATGGGGATGATGAGGACTGGGATGAGGATGACGCAGAGGAGACTGCACTGGAGGGCTACACCACAGCTGTAGACGATGAAGACAACCTGGTGGATGAATACCAGATCTTCAAAGCCATACTACAGAGTAAGGAGACCACCTTTCAGACACACAAAGCTAGTGATGGGTCGTCAAGTTAAGGACGCAAATGTGATATAAACAATGAATAAGTGTTTACTCAATCAATAATATTACGAAACATATTTGTGAGGCCTGTTATTTACAGTGCATTATTAGTACAAGATCTTCAGTGATGATACGATGACGAGTCGGAACCGGACACTGTCTGTCTGTGGTCACTGGGTCAGGGTCACGTTCTGTGTCTCTGAGTTCAGTTTCCCACAACAGCGTGTTTTTCACTTGAAGACATCGAGGCATTTGTCTGAGAAGGGCTAAAAACACAATCCAAACAAGATATCTTGGATTGAAGACATTAATGCAATATGTTGCATTTTTTTATGCTTAAGTGTAAATGGTATCTAAAGGGGAGGGAAATGTAACTGTTTTTCTCCAACTCAGATATCCAGACCCGTGACCCAACATGGTACCAGGCACTCACACAAACCCTTGATGAGGAACAAGGAAAACATCTTCATGACATCGGCACACTTGCAGACCAGAGACGGGCAGCACATGGTAAGTAAATGTATCCCTGTCATACAATAATAAGCCAGCTGTTAATTGGATTGTTTTAATTTCATAGGAAATAAACACTTTCCATTGTGTTTGGCATGTTGTATAATTGCCCTATTTTCTTCTCATTCCAGAATCCAAAATGATCGAGAAGCATGGCGGATACAAGTTCACAGTGCCAGAAGTGGTGCCAACTAATTTCAATTTTGGAGGCAACGCTCCAGGAATGAATTGAGTCATCCCTTCTCCCTTTTATTACTCTGACTGATTGTAGTGAAGTGAAAAAAGCTTGTGTTGTTCCCTTAAGTAGTGGTTCCAGAACTGGTTCTTCTCACTGACTCTTCAATCTGACTATCAAATTGGAAATAGCACCAGAAGAAGTGGGAAGGCAACCAAATGCAACAAATGGCTGGGAAAACAAACCAAGAACTTGAGCACGAAGCAAGAGAAAAAAGAAGCTCTGAACAACATTGTCTTCTGGGATCCAATGTGGAGGAGGATACTATGACGGAACTCTTTTTTTCTTCCCACTTAAACAAAACGGGAGGGCTTAACAATTTGAAATTGATAATGGGACTAAATGTTTCATCATTTTCACTGTTTTGGCCAAAAGGCTGTGCGTGATAAGATTATACCTCTGGCAGTAGTGTTGTCTACGTTATTTTCTGCATTAACAAATTCTCATGTTTGTTATGTATATACAAGCCAAGGTTCTTGATTTTTAAGTAGCCTTGCAAAAACAACCAGAGGCATTTGTAAGGTGTCAAGTGTATTCATATGTAGCATATCGGATACTTCATAGCACTATGTGATGCCTGATCTCTGTAAATTAATGACTAGCACTTTCATATTGTTCAGGTCTCCTAGCCTTCTGTATCAGACTGCAATTTTTAAATCAAGTAAGACCATTTAAAACGCAAACCGCTGTAACTTTGTTACTGTGCAAACGACTTCTCCCAGCCTGTAATGGGTGATTGTCACATGTATTGGTTACGGTGTAGAAAAATGGGTGGCATCACTTTGCTGCTAAAGTGGAAACATTCTAGATTCCTGAAAAAATAGAAGGCTCTTGGTGTTCAGGTTGGATACAAGACATGTTGTGAGCACTGAAAGTCAATTGGATACTTCATTGAAGCATGTACAATTGGACTTGATCGTGAAGGTCTCAAGCATTTGGTTGGTGTATGGATGAACCATATATATAAATATACACACAACAACATTAAAAAAAGTTTCGTTGGATTGCATGCATTTGACTGTTTACTACCATAACTACACACTTACACTTGTGCACTCAGTAATTTGATTTGGAGGCTAGATTTGAGGGGGAATGTCTGTATATCTGTCGGATCAGGTGATGTGTAATCTATTGAGAACTATGGACAACTAATTATAATTCTAATCCATATGCTACTATGGGTTCGAAGGGTCGCATGTCCTCCTTGGCAGTTGATCACTAACACCACTTAGCTTTACGGTGTCTACATTATTAGTGACCGATATGACTGCGTACTGCGCAGCATGATATAGACGAACTAAAACGTGGCTATAACCTTGCTTCAAACTGCATATCGTTACCCTGGATCTGGGTAGTTTCATTTAACAGACACTGCTGGCTGTCAATGTATATAAAATGCATTACAAATATCCTGGAGTTTTATTCTACTGCATTGTCCACTACCTTGCTCCACTCTCCGGTCACCATGAGGCTTTACGGTTCCAAAATGGCTGTGTCCAACTTCGAAAACGTGTTTTTTTGGATTCTATATTTGTTTGTTGTGCTGAACGAACTGCATTAATATGAAGTATAACAACCGGTGACGTGAAACTGATATTTTATTGGAAACCGCTAGAAAATACGTGCAAAGTTAAGCGGTCACAATTGTGATCCAGAATGGCGTATAGAACGAACCCCAAAAGCTGAATGAGGAAAATGAATGGAAAGAGGAGGTCATCAAACAATGATTGAATAGACTTTGAACCAATGAGATTACTAGTAGCTTGCGCGACTGAAATATTTGCCAATCATACAGATCATATCGGGGCAAGTGCTATCTTTGTACATGTTCCAGGGTGCGCGCACAGGAGAACATTTCCTGCCCTGATGCATGGTGGTCGAACCGAAGGGATTGTTGGAAATTTTAGAGGTTCGTATAAATGTGGTTTTACCCAGTGTGCCTTTCTACAGCCATATCCAGTTTGGGAGACGGAAGGGGATAGCTGTGCGTAGCGTTTGATAGGAGAAATATACTTCATTAAACCATAGTTTAAATCATGTATTGTCTAAAATGTTTTATTATTCGCTAGCCCACATGCTAATTAGCACTAGCAAATGATTTGTTCGCGCTCTTCTTCACACTAGTAACAGCTGCCTGCTAACTAGTTAATATTAGCAGTTCGTTTAAGAGGCTAACTTATAACCTCGATTTCCCCATTGACTGTTTCCTTCAGCTAACTAACTTGCCTTTTCTCAACATTGGTAGATACATGAATGACGAACTAGCTAGCTAACTTAGCTAGTTACAAATGACCACAAGTGTCGGTTAGCTAACGTTAATCGAACAAAAACTGTTCTCAAGTTAGCTAGCTAACGTTTCTGTCAAATTTAGTTCGTTAACTATAGCTACCTAGGTATAGGCAACAAAGATCCCATACCAATCACATTCATATTTGATACGGTAACGTTATGTCTGTCACATAGCTAGCTGAAGCTGCACTGTTGACTGTCCTATCAAGTTCCATCCAACTTGGCAACAACATGAACTGTTGAATCTGCGCAGCTCCTGTCTACTGTTGTACAACATGTCAGCTGAAAGCAGCTGGACGTTAGATTTGTATTATTAATGTACATATGATCTAGTAATGCAACAGACACTGCTGCCCAAACTGAATAAACTGGGTCTATTCACATCCATAAGTTACCATTGTGCATATGACTGCAAGAGCTGTATGGAAAGTGTCTGACTGCACCCAATGCAGCCACACATACAGTGAATATAACGTGGTGTGTGTTCGTCTGGACAGAGCGACAATGCTGTTGGCTCAGATTAACCGGGACTCCCAGGGCATTGCAGAGTTCCAAAATGCAGGTGGAGACACTCAGCAGGTCACCCTCTGTTTGGCAGAGGCTGTTTCAGGTGAGTTCATCCATGCCTTTCCATTTATCGGTGGGGATTGTGGCCAAGTTGCCAGCAAAGGAAAAAGTTACTTACACATGCTGTTGTACATCTAGAGCCAGTTTTTTTTCATTTGTTTATGGTTGTGCCATTTTTGTTCAATAGATGGCGATCAGATGGACATGGACACTGTGAGTTTGCAGGCTGTGACCCTTGCAGATGGCTCTACAGCTTACATACAGCACAACCCTAAAGGTAACTAAAATGTCAATCATCTAAACATACAGTAATGGAAAGTGGCCATGAAGGTATTGGCTTGACTAACAGTGAACACTACCCCATAAAGTAACCCCCCAAACGGTCTGACCATGTAGAAAGAATTGATAACCTTACTTACATTTTTTTTTTTTTTAAATTTTTTAGTCATTTAGCAGACGCTCTTATCCAGAGCGACTTACAGTTAGTGAATACATTTTTTTTTATATACTGGCCCCCGTGGGAATCAAACCCACAACCCTGGCGTTGCAAACGCCATGCTCTATCAACTGAGCTACATCCCTGCCGGCCATTCCCTCCCCTCCCCTGGACGACGCTGGGCCAATTGTGCGCCGCCCATGAGTCTCCCGGTCGCGGCCGGCTGCGACAGAACCAGGATCTCTAGTGGCACAGTTAGCACTGCGATGCAGTGCCTTAGACCACTGCGCCACTCAGGAGTACTTGGCTGAGTCATGACAGATTTCTTCTATCTATTGATTATTATCATGATTTAGTCCATTATTTGATGAGAGCAGTCTGATTGAAGAGTGCAGTCTCCATTTCAGATGGCAAGTTCATGGATGGACAGGTCATTCAGCTGGAGGATGGATCTACTGCATATGTCCAACATGTATCAATGCCAAGAGCAGGTCTGTTTTCCTCTTATCAATGTTAATTATTGCTGTGTTTTTTAATGAATCATTGCTTATTTTGTTTTAAAGTTAGGCATTTTGCTTAATCGTGTCACTATTCACTGTAAGATGAAACTGTATTTTAATGGGAAAAGTGATATAATATCAATATTTCCCCATTTTTACTTATCAGAGGAGGCCAACAGGTGGACAGGATCCCCTTTGTGTGATGTAATTGGAGGAGATGGTCTGAGACTTGAGGATGGTCAGGCAGTGCAGCTGGAAGATGGCACAACCGCTTACATCCACACACCAAAAGGTTTGTCTCCCTCTTAAAGCTGCAACATGTACGTTTTTGGGCGACCCGACCAAATTCACATATAAATGTGAATCATAGAACTGTCATTCTCATTGAAAGTAAGTATAAGAAGTGGTAGATCTGTTCTATATGCACTATTTCTATGCTTCCCGTTCTTAAGTTTAGTTTTTGCGTCTTTTACTTTCGGTTTTGTACATCAGCTGAAAAGACAATATTATAGAAAATATATTTCAGAGGTTTAGATGGTACAGTGATTCTCTACATTGCTTGTTTTGTCACATAAACTGAAATTAGGCAAACTTTGATAGTTTTTGAAACTAGGAAATGGCTGAGCGATTTCTGCATATTGCATCTTTTTAACTTAGTTTATTGTTATCCTTTTGTCAATAAATGTGTTTTTACCCAGTGTTTCATATTTTTTTTCATGAGAAATGTGGATGGGTAAATAAAAAAATAAAAACTTTTTGCCATAGGGTATTAAACTTCACTGAAACTCCCTCACAGATACCTATGACCAGAATACCCTGCAGGCTGTTCAGCTGGAGGATGGCACCACAGCATACATCCAGCACACAGTACAGATGCCCCAGACCAACACCATCCTGGCCATCCAGGCAGATGGGACAGTGTCAGACCTGAACACTGATGGAACCCTCGACCAAGAGACCATCAACGTGCTGGAACAATACACCACAAAGGTCGTTTGCTATTGACATTGCATCTTAACAGCTCATCAACTCAGCATTGTATGCCATTTTCGAATACCTCATCTGTGTTTCTGAGGTAAAATGGTCACTGGTTATTTCCCCTTTTGTTTTCTCAGGTGGAAGCTGATGATGTCAACTCTGTACTGATGAGAGCCGAGCAAGATTGTGGTGTGCAGATGCAGGTACTATACTTCTCATGTTTATCTATGTCATATCATATTTACCACCAGCTTACATTGGATACATATTTATTTCAGATTGTGCTTCAAAGGCAGAGTGGTCGTAGTTCTAGGGAGCAGCCTACAGAGAAATCTTTCCGCTGTGACTATGAGGGCTGTGGGAAACTCTACACAACAGCACACCATCTGAAGGTAAAGCACACTCACTCCCTAAAAATGACATCTTGAATGTACACTACCGGTCAAAAGTTTTAGAACACCTACTCATGCAAGTGTTTTTCTTTATTTTGACTATTTTCTACATTGTAGAATAATAGTGAAGACCTCAAAACTATGAAATAACACATATGGAATCATGTAGTAACCAAAAAAGTGTTAAACAAATCAAAATATATTTTATATTTGAGATTCTTCAAATAGCCACCTTTTGCCTTGATGATAGCTTTGCACACTCTTGGCATTCTCTCAACCAGCTTCACCTGGAATGCTTTTCCAACAGTCTTGAAGGAGTTCCCACATATGCTGAGCACATGTTGGCTGCTTTTCCTTCACTCTGCGATCAGACTTATCCCAAACCATCTCAATATGGTTGAGGTCGGGGGATTGTGGAGGCCAGGTCATCTGATGCAGCACTCCATCACTCTCCTTGTTGGTAAAATAGCCCTTACACAGCCTGGAGGTGTAGTGGGTCATTGTCCTGTTGAAAAACAAATGATAGTCGCACTAAGCCCAAACCAGGTGGGATGGCGTATCGCTGCAGAATGCTGTGGTAACCATGCTGGTTAAGTGTGCCTTGAATTCTAAATAACTCACAGACAGTGTCACCAGCAAAGCACCATAACACCTCCTCCTCCATGCTTTATGGTGAGAAATACACATGCAGAGATCATCCGTTCACCTACACCGCTTCTCACAAAGACACGGCGGTTGGAACCAAAAATCTCAATTTTGGACTCAGACCAAAGGACACATTTCCACCAATCTGATGTCCATTGCTCGTGTTTCTTGGCCCAAGTAAATCTCTTCTTCTTATTGGTGTCCTTTAGTAGTGGTTTCTTTGCAGCAATTCGACCATGAAGTCCTGATTCACGCAGTCTCCTCTGAACAGTTGATGTTGAGATGTGTCTGTGACTTGAAGGTTTTATTTGGGCTGCAATTTCTGAGGCTGGTAACTCTAATGAACTCATCCTCTGCAGCAGAGGTAACTCTGGGTCTTCCATTCCTGTGGCGGTCCTCATGAGAGCCAGTTTCATCAAAGCGCTTGATGGTTTTTGCGACTGCACTTGAAGAAACTTTCAAAGTTCTTGAAATGTTCCATATTGACTGTAAAGTAATGATGGACTGTAATTTCTCTTTGCTTATTTGAGCTGTTCTTGCCATAATATGGACTTGGTCTTTTACCAAATAGGGCTATCTTCTGTGTAGCTCAGTTGGTAGAGAATGAATCTTGCAAAGCCAGGGTTGTGGGTTCGTTTCCCACGGGGGGCCAGTATGAAAAAAGTATGAAAATGTATACACTCACTAACTGTAAGTCACTCTGGATAAGAGCGTCTGCTAAAATGTATATCCCCCCCCCCCCCACCTTGTCACAGCACAACTGATTGGCTCAAACGCATTAAGAAGGAAATAAATTCTACAAATTAACTTTTAAGATGGCACACCTGTTAATTGAAATGCATTCCAGGTGACTACCTCATGAAGCTGGTTGAGATAATTCCAAGAGTGTACAAAGCTGTCATCAAGGCAAAGGGTGGCTATTTGAAGAATCTCAAATATAAAATATATTTTGATTTGTTTAACACTTACATGATTCCATATGTGATATTTCATAGTTTTGATGTAGTTACAATGTAGAAAATTGTAAAAATAAAGAAAAACCCCTGAATGAGTAGGTTATCTAAAACTTTAGACCGGTAGTGTAGAATGAGTCAGATTTAATTGATCCAAATGACTGATCTGTTAATCGTTGTTTGATTTTCTCTTTTCTGCCCCCTGCAGGTACATGAGAGGTACCACACAGGTGACCGGCCATATCTGTGTGATCACCTGGGCTGTGGAAAGAAGTTTGCTACAGGTAATAAATTACCTTCAGACTAATACAAAGGTCATAAAACCTTTTGAGATACAGTGGCTTGCGAATGTATTCACCCCCCTTGGCATTTTCCCTATTTTGTTGCCTTACAACCTGGAATTATAATGGATTTTTGGGGGGTTTGTATCATTAGATTTACACAACATGCCTACCACTTTGAAGATGCAAAATATTTTTATGCTTAGGGTCATTGTCCTGCTGGAAGGTGAACCTCCGTCCCAGTCTCAAATCTCTGGAAGACTGAAACAGGTTTCCATCAAGAATTTCCCTGTATTTAGCGCCATCCATCATTCCTTCAATTCTGACCAGTTTCCCAGTCCCTGCTGATGAAAAACATCCCCACAGCATGATGCTGCCACCACCATGCTTCACTGTGGGGATGGTGTTCTCTGGGTGATGAGAGGTGTTGGGTTTGCGCCAGACAACGTTTTCCTTGATGGCCAAAAAGCTCAATTTTAGTCTCATCTGACCAGAGGACCTTCTTTCAGATGTTTGGGGAGTCTCCCACATGCCTTTTGTCAAACACCAAACGTGTTTGCTTATTTTTTTCTTTAAGCAATGGCTTTTTTCTGGCCACTCTTCCGTAAAGCCCAGCTCTGTGGAGTGTACGACTTAAAGTGGTCCTAAGGACAGATACTCCAATCTCCGCTGTGGAGCTTTGCAGCTCCTTCAGGGTTATCGTTGGTCTCTTTGTTGCCTCTGATTAATGCCCTCCTTGCTTGGTCCGTGAGTTTTGGTGGGCGGCCCTCTCTTGGCAGGTTTGTTGTGGTGCCATATTCTTTCCATTTTCGTAATAATGGATTTAATGGTGCTCCGTGGGATGTTCAAAGTTTCTGATATTTTTTAAAAACCCAACCCTGATCAGTACTTGTCCACAACTTTGTCCCTGACCTGTTTGGAGAGTTCCTTGGTCTTCATGGTGCCACTTGCTTGGTGGTGCCCCTTGCTTAGTGGTGCCCCTTGCTTAGTGGTGCCCCTTGCTTAGTGGTGTTGCAGACTCTGGGGCCTTTCAGAAAAGGTGTATATATACTGAGATCATGTGACACTTAGATTGCACACAGGTGGACTTTATTTAACTAATTATGTGACTTCTGAAGGTAATTGGTTGCACCAGATCTTATTTAGGGGCTTCATAGCAAAGGGGGTGAATAAATATGCACGCACCACTTTTCCATTATTTCCTCAGTTTGAACAATTGCTCACTCATTATCTGAACAATGTCGGTCAGTGTGACTGTGATCCATAAAATGTACAGCACGCGTTTCCAACTCAGCAAAATGTGTTTTTTCCCCAAAAGGGTATGGCCTGAAAAGCCACATCAGGACACACACTGGTGAGAAGCCTTATCGCTGCCAGGAAGTGCACTGTGCAAAGTCGTTCAAGACGTCTGGTGACCTCCAAAAGCACATCAGAACCCACACAGGTACAACATTTATCCAGAGTCAGATTTATACCTAGTCTTATCCTTACATATGCAATCTACGGTGTACAACTAGTTTATTTTATTTTTGCTGTCCCATTTGGATTAGAAATCATGTGATCATGCTGTTAGAAATGATCTCATCCATGAACTTGAAGAGGTCTTGAACAAGCTCATCATCCCCTCTGTACTGTAGGAGAGAAGCCATTCATGTGCCCGTTTGAGGGGTGCGGGAGATCGTTTACTACCTCTAACATCAGGAAGGTGCACATTCGCACACACACAGGGGAGCGGCCTTACTACTGTGCAGAGCCTGGCTGTGGGCGAGCCTTCGCCAGTGCCACCAACTATAAGAACCACGTGAGGATCCACACAGGTATGTAGTCCTTCTGTTTCTCTTTATGTTAAAAGTCACACAACAGCATTATTCAGTCCTTTTGTAGTGTGGCGTTTTACACTGATTAATGAATGGGATGAATTTACAGGAGAGAAGCCTTACGTATGCACAGTCCCAGGCTGTGACAAGCGGTTCACAGAGTACTCCAGCCTTTACAAACACCACGTTGTCCACACACCATGCAAGCCCTACAACTGCAACCACTGTGGGAAGACCTACAAGCAGATCTCCACCCTGGCCATGCACAAACGCACAGCGCATAATGTCACAGAGCCCATTGAGGAAGAGCAGGAGGCATACTACGAACCCCCTACAGGTCAGGCTTGGAAGTCAACACCACCTTACACAGATGTATTAGTCATCAATGGATGACTTCATCTTATTTGTCTTTCCTCTCCTCTGTTTTTTGTCTATTTTGGGGAGGGGAAAAAAAGAACCCAGCCTATGTGTACACTGGCGTAACTAGTGGTAACATAATAACCATACAGGTAACTGCCAAAACAAAGGAAACGGCAACATAAAGTGTCTTAATAGGACGTTGGGCCGCCAGAACCGCTTCAATGCGCCTTGGCATACAAGTGTCTGGAACTCTATTTGAGGTATGTGACACCATTCTTCCACGAGAAATTCTATAATTTTGTGTTTTGTTGATGGTGTTGGAAAACGCTGTCTCAGGCGCCGCTCCAGAATCTCCCGTAAGTGTTCAACTGGGTTGAGATCTGGTGACTGAGACACACACCCTTTAAACCCCATATGCTCCTTTGAGACCCCTCTTTCAAAGTCACTAAGATCTCTTCTAGCCATGGTAGCCAAAATAATGGGTAACTGGGCATTTTTATACATGACCCCTAAGCATGATGGGATGTTTTTTAATTAGTTAATTAACTCAGAAACCACACCTGTGGAAGAACCTGCTTTCAATATACTTTGTATCCCTCATTTACTCAAGTGTTTCCTTTATTTTAGCAGTTACCTGTAGATTACCTCGAAAGTCTGACGTATACCTCACGGCACAGTGTTTAAAGGTTGACTCATGGTGAATCGTTGACTGCTGTTATGCCCTTATCAGGACTGCAACCAGAGTAATGACTGAGTCACGAGACGATTATTGAGAAATTTCATTGTTGTTATTCCATGTGATTCAGAGGCCATCGATGATCCCTCAGTGAATTTTGCCCCGGTTGAGGAGGAGGAGTCCTGTTTGGAACAGATGACTGAGACTGAGGCCATTGGTCAGCAGCATGTGCAGCTCATAACACACCCCGATGGAACCCAACAGGTTAGTATAAAAGAAATGGACCCTACACACTAATTTAGTCATTTCACCGGAAGTGTACCACACCCATATTTATAGACATAGGACAAGCATCAATTAGGGTGGTCTATACATATTTAGGTTGAAAGGGGATTTTTATATATGCTGTGTATATGTATTTATTTATTGAATATTATAACTGTATAGACATTTATATCAGGTAGACAAAACGTATGTTAATACCCAAAAGTGGTTGTCATAATAATAAATGAATCAGATGGCATTCACAGGAAATGGCTTAAAGGATCAAACGTTGTTTGTTTGTGAATAAAGGTGCGTGTTGGAGCTTATGAGTGTGCAGGCTCTATTTATTTTATACTTACTTTTTTCGGTCCTGCACCCCACTAAAGGATGTGCGTTTGATCACACTTGACTACCCAACAGGTTAGCAAATACTAAACTAGAATGAGCATATTCATTCTATTTCTATGTAAGCAACCTCTCTTAATTCATGTCTCAACAACCCCATTTATCCCTCTACATCTACACACCTCTATACCCATGGAACCATACACTGAGTATGTTTACATGCACACTAATAATGAAATATTAAACTGATTATGGCCGAGGGCAGAGTATGGCATTAGTACATGTAAACAGCTTAATCGGCGTTCCAGCAGTGTGTTTGATCTGTGCATGTACCAGCACCAGTAGTGCAAGCCTTCCTCTTATGCGCGAATGAAGTGAGTTTGGCAGTGGTGTAAAGTACTTAAGTAAAAATACTTATGTCGTTTTTTTAGGTATTACTATTGATGTTTTTGACATCTTTTACTTTTACTTCACTACATTCCTAAAGAAAATATTGTACTTTTTACTCCATACATTTTCCTTGATAACCAAAACTACTCGTTACATTTTGAATGCTTAGCAGGACAGGAAAATTGTCAAATTCACGCACTTATCAAGAGAACATGTGGTCATTCCTACTGCCTCTGGCCTGGCGGACTCACTAAACAGAAATGCATCTTTTGTAAATATTATCTGAGTGTTGGAGTGTGCCCCTGGCTATCCGTACATTTTCAAAACAAGAAAATGGTGCCAACTGCTTTGCTTAATATAAGGAATTTTAAGTGATTAATACTTTTACTTTTGATACTTAAGTATATTTAAAACCAAATACTTTTAGACTTTTACTCAAATAGTATTTTAATGGCTGACTTTCACTTTTACTTAAGTAACTTTCTATTAACGTATCTATACTTTTACTTAAATATGACAATTGGGTACTTTTTCCACCACTGGAGTTTGGAAAAACTGAAAGTATGCATCTTAAATAGTTTTCACATACAAACTTTATACATTGAGTGTACACAACATTAGGAACACCTTCCTAATATTGAGTTGCACCCCCCCTTTTACCCTCAGAGCAGCCTCAATTCGTCAGGCATGGAGTGTACAAGGTGTCGAAAGCGTTCCACAGGGATGCTGACCCATGTTGACTCCAATGCTTCCCACAGAAGACTGCTTTGTTTAGCTGTACAATAATTAATAGAGGGCAAATGGTGAGTTACAGTTAAAGTTACACTTAGGTTGGAGTCATTAAAACTTGTTTTTCAACCACTCCACAAATTTATTGTTAACAAACTATAGTTTTGGCAAGTCGGTTAGGACATCTACTTTGTGCATGACACATGTAATTTTTCCAGCAATTGTTAACAGATTATTTCACTTATAATTCACTGTATCACAATTCCAGTGGGTCAGAGGTTTACATACACTAAGGTGACTGTGCCTTTAAACAGCTTGGGAAATTCCAGAAAATGTCATGGCTTTAGAAGCTTCTGATAGGCTAATTGACATCATTTGAGTCAATTGGAGGTGTACCTGTGGATGTATTTCAAAGCCTACCTTCAAACTCAGTGCCTCTTTGCTTGACATCATGGGAAAATCAAAAGGAATCAGCCAAGACCTCAGGAAAAAATGGTAGACCTCCACAAGTCTGGTTCATCCTTGGGAGCAATTTCCAAACGCCTGAAGGGATCACATTCATCTGTACAAACAATAGTACACAAGTATAAACACCATCGGACCACGCAGCTGTCATACCGCTCAGGAAGGAGACGCATTCTGTCTCCTAGAGATTAACGTACTTTGGTGCAAAAAGTGCAAATCAATCCCGGAACAACAGCAAAGGACCTTGTGAAGAAGCTGGAGGAAACCGGTACAAAAGTATCTATATCCACAGTAAAACGAGTCCTATATCGACATAACCTGAAAGGCCGCTCAGCAAGGACAAGCCACTGCTCCGAAACCACCATAAAAAAGCCAGACTACGGTTTGCAACTGCACATTGGGACAAAGATCATACTTTTTGGAGAAATGTCCTCTGGTCTGATGAAACAAAAATAGAACTGTTTGGCCATAATGACCATCGTTATGTTTGGAGGAGAAAGGAGGTGGCTTGCAAGCCGAAGAACACCATCCCAACCGTGAAGCACGGGAGTGGCAGCATCATGCTGTGTGGGTGCTTTGCTGCAGGAGGGACTGGTGCACTTCACAAAATAGATGGCATCATGAGGAAGGAAAATTATGTGGATATATTGAAGCAACATCACAAGACATCAGTCAGGAAGTTAAAGCTTGGTCGCAAATGGGTCTTCCAAATGGACAATGACCCCAAGCATACTTCCAAAGTTGTGGCAAAATGGCTTAAGGACAACAAAGTCAATGCTACCAAATACTAATTGAGTGTATATAAACGTCTGACCCACTGGGAATGTGATGAAATAAATAATAACTTAAATAAATCATTCTCTCTACTATTATTCTGACATTTCACATAATTAAAATAAGGTGGTGATCCTAACTGACCTAAGACAGGGAATTTTTACTAGGATTAAATGTCAGGAATTGTGAAAAACTGAGTTCAAATGTATTTGGCTAAGGTGTATGTAAACTTCCGACTTCAACTGTATATAGTGCTTCATAGTGTATAGTAAAATATGTTACATGCCTTTTCATTCCCAGGTCAGTATCTCGCAGGCTGACATGCAGGCGTTGGGAAACACAATTACCATGGTAACCAGTGATGGCACCACCTTCACTGTTCCTTCCCATGAAATGCTTAATGCAGATGGAACACATTCAGTCACCATGGTAGCAGCAGATGGTACAGAAGAGCAGGTGAGTTTTACTAAAACTTTTACCACCATGATCTGAAATCCCCAAATGTGTACCTGTGTTGTTTAGTTCTGTTCATACCTTAACATAACTAGAATGATGACTAGTGATTCTATTTCTATGAACACGCCCACAGCAAACACACATAGAACTGGGTACTTTCCAATTAATCGGCAAAACTCCCTCTTCAGACTTTCCAATCAATCTCACTTGTGATGCGTTTTGGACTTTAGATCTTAATACATGTTTGAACTCTTTTTTTCCCCCCCAGGTGGCCATTGATTTGGCCTCCTTTCAGGACATGCAGACAGAGGAGGGGGTTCACCCTGTCACTCTGTTAGCCACCTCAAACGGCACACAGATTGCTGTCCAGGTAGGGGACACCTGTGACACAACACCACTCCCTCCAACACAACATATAGAGACAAGCAGGGCACACTATCTTCCCATTGGCTGCTGAGAGGCATAGCGAGTTCATATGACACTGCAGTAGCTTTAACAAACAGCTGTTTGTTAGCCTAACTCACAGCCTCACAAAGAACTACAGTGCATTCTATTGTATTCACTGAGCTGCCTGCAGCAGTGTGAATCTGAGATCAAGCATCTTTTTGTATTGACCATCACTAAGGGTCCTATTCAGTCTTGAGGTACACGTGTTCTAGGAACTCTGCACCTCTCCTGTCTATTCCAAAGACTGCTGACTATTCCTGACAAAACCATTGGTAAATAGAAACAAAAACATTCAGTGTGTTGATTTATTTATTTATTTGCTTCCAACGATCACATCAGTCCTTCCATTGTGATGTTAATACAAAGTGTTTTAAGTAAATAAGGTTAGTCTTTACTCATCCCTGTAGACTCCACCCAGTCAGTCTACTGTTATGTAGGTTTGCTTCCCTTTGACGCCTATATGAGCTACTGTTGACTGCAATGGGAGGAGCCTTAGTTTTGATTGATTTAAACTAAACCAAAGTAATGACGAGATTTTGTATTATGTTACTTACACCTGATCAGACCATCAATTTTGCATAAATAATATTCTGTTTTCTCACTGTGTGAACCTTTCTGTTTCTTAGCTCAGTGAACAACCCTCACTCGAAGAAGCCATCAGAATCGCATCAAGAATACAACAAGGAGAGATGGGATTGGAAGATTAGATAAGATAAGCCTTTCAGAACTATGACTTCTGTTGAAATATTTGATTTGATGAGAACAACTGATCTATACAAATTCTACAGTTTCCTGACTCAAGGGTATTGTTCTTAAATCAAAACATGGAATTCTTTATTAAGATTTGTAAATAGACATTTTGATATGGCTGCACAAAGAGTCTGTAATGCTGAAACATCCATTACCTTGAGTAAGATGTGTGTTGCTGCATGAATGAGATTAAGAAATGTAATGTGTTTTTGGACTTTTGGTACCATTTTTTCCATGTGTGAATATTGTATTCTGTGTATATACAGTAAATAGCCAATGTTTTGAATCCAGCATATATTTTAACTTTGAATATGTACAAATAATGGATAGACATTGGATGTTAAATAAAGCAGTACAATTCTATATATTTGCACTAATTGCTTTTGTGATAATGTTGTGGATTTATCATCTGAAATCTACTTAATTACTATTGAAACAGGATATTGATTAGTATTTTATTGAATTTATTTGTATGTGTAAGACTCAGTATGATATTTGTTTATAGCAAGTGCTACATCATCAACTCATACTAATATGTGAGCAGTTGACAATTCTTATCAACATACATTTATTTCAATTGACTGATTTCCTTATATATGTCAGTAAAATCTTTGAAATTGTTGCATGTCGTGTTTATATTTTTGTTCAGTATACATTGAAACCTGTCTGTCTTTTATATTTTTTCAAAGTCCACTGCTTAACATTGTGTGTGTGTGTAGAGTGGAATTAATATTTAAAGACATTGTAACCATTCTTTTCATAACGCTCAGTCCTTCTATAGTAGTTCGCTAAACTACAGAGTATGTTGTCCGTTGAAGTTGTTGTCTCTGGCTTTTTTATATCCGTTTCAGAATTAATAATAACAAAGTTTGTGGTTGTTTGAAAGGGTCTGATCCACTTTAGGGCAGGAGTGTTTCCAATTCACATAACCCGACAAGAAAAACTCCAGCCCTATAGTCATAGCACATGAAAAGGGAAGATATCTATAATAAGAATATTTTGTCATAGCCTACGAACAGGATCCAGAGTTTTACCTGACCAGGTCATGAGGTCAAGAAAAACTCAAGCCCTCAGAAAATAAAATACAAATTTGCCACATAACTTTAGAACCTGTGGTGCAACCTCTGCATAGTACAAGTGGGGGGTGGGCATTTCCTCTTTTGTTCTCTATTGCTCATCAAGCAAGGAGGGAAGCCGATGACATCCGTATTCCCATCAGACCAACTCCTTGAATGCATCCTACTTTAAGTTTGCAGTTGTGTCTAAAAACCACTATTTTGCTCAAACCATACTTTACTGTATTTACACTTGGGATATTGCTTTTCAGCAGGAAAAGTTAAACAATTTCTGGAGGATGGTAGGCATTCAATTCAAGGTAACGAGAGTGATTCATCCTGTTCCACCACGCCCCATGCCTTCTTCCCGATAAAGAACTGGCAGACATTCAAGGAAGTAGTATCAAACTGGAAATTCCTTATTTTCAGACCATAACATTCCAGTTAAGGAGACTGATTCATCCTCTTCCTCTCTTCTTTTGGCTCTGGTTCTAAGGATCACAACAACCTCATGTCCACACAATGTGTGACTAAGGTTTCTGGCAGAGCAGTCAGAGGTATTGTTCATTTTTATTTTTATGATGACATCATGGAATTTCATGATGACCGGAGAGGAAAGGTGTGTATTGCAGTGTGTCAAGTACAATAGGGATATTCTGAGGTGAGATCAGGCTGTAAGGACAGCTCTATCTTTTTTTCCAAACATTAATGTAGCATATTTTTTATGTCATGGAATTACAGGTGCCTCAGTCAGTCACATTGTATGGCCTCCTGGAGTCCTAAAGTAAACGTCATTCTGACAGTAATAAAGTTGTTTATTTGGCTTGATTTTTTCTCCAGTTTTTCCTCCAGTGATTTTGTAACTTTTCCTGTTGAAAACGATATCCTAAGTATACATACAATAAAGTACACACACTAAAGGGTAAACAAAAATGTTTTGAGCAAAATAGTGTTTATAGACACATCTGCAAACTTCAATTAGGAGGGCATTCAAGAAGTTGGCTTGTTGGGAAGTCGTGATGTCATCGGCCTCCCCCTTGCTTGAGGAACAATAGAGGAGCAATAGAGAACAAAAGAGCAAAGCCCCCTCCCCCCACTTGTGCTATGTCATGACTTACCTGGACCACCTATTGAGATGTGCCTTTTGTTGAGTTAAACCGGTCGTTAAATGAGGTGAAAAGGAGACTGGAGTGCCACTTTAAATGCACATTTTCCTAGCAGACACATTGACAGGTGACAGCAGAGTTCAGTGGGATTGAGGCACATGCTAATTAATATGGCCACAATATTTGGAAACAGTGCCAAAAGGAACAAACTAATGTCAGCGAGCTAGTAAGGATGCAAAGACTATACAGAGTTACACATAATATGTGAATGTGTCCCAGGAGCTGAACAATAAAACAACATGAAAGAAGGACATTTCTGCAGACTAAACAATAAAACAACATGAAAGAAGGACATTTCTGCAGACTGAAAAATAAAACAACACAAAAAGAAACATTTCTGCAGACTGAACAATAAAACAACACAAAATAAGGAAATTTCCGCAGACTTTGGTCTTTTTTTGGGCTAGGAATCACAAAGGTCATGAACCCCAGTCTGTCAGCAAGGAGCTCTCCCATTGTCCTGTGTATGACCCCACACTGGGACTGTGTTCCAAATGGCACACTATTGCCTTCATTGTGCACTACTTTGACCAGAGCCATATGGGCCCTGGTCAAAAGTAGTCCACTATATAGGGAATATGGTGCCATTTTGGAGAGACACATAGTCACACGGCTCCACTTGACAATGTCGGAGATGGTTAGGTCAGGTGCACTACCAGGAAGTCAAACAAGGACTTGGGAAATTCACAAATACAACAGTATCTGTCCATTCCTGTAGGAGAGACGCTATCTCCACATGGATCAGCGTGGGGGAATTTGTCCCCACGTTTATCAGTCTGGCTCCATTTCTCTTTTGTCTTTTCTCAGGGACGGAAAAGGACCATAAATCGTCCCGGGCATTGCTGACGCATCGTCTAATTTTGGTCCTTAAGGCCCCCACATCAGCCCATTTTTTACTAGAAGCACCCATTATTAGCCAAATAATGATCATTCTGCACAAAAAAAAATGAATTTAGACAGACACACTGAGCTAAATATGGACTAGCCCATTTGGCATTTGCCTGGACTGCCCTATGGTCAGTCCGTTTCTGCTGTACACCATATACCCAGGTGGCCGGTGGCACATTAATTCATAGTAGGCTGAAAGGGAGAAATGGAGTGGTATCAAACACATCAAACACATTGTTTCCATGTGAATGATAACGTTCCATTCACTCCATTCCAGCCATTATTATGAGCCGTTCTCCCCTCAGCAGCCTCCTGTGACCAAATACCTTTCTCACTTATACAGCTTTAAAGTTCTCCACTGCAGCTATTTAGTACTTTGGGTAATTAGAATCATTGGGGTATTGAGACTGTCTTGTCATCACGAGTGCAGAGCCTGGTGTCTGTGGAAGGAGAGAGAAAGGAAACACAAGCAGCAGAATTGATCAGGGTAAAAGTCCAACCTCTCAATAAATTCACAATCATCATGTATTTCACATAAGGTAAAACACATGAGAGATGTTGATCCAAAGAGTCTGTTCTTGGATCAGCTCTCCTTACCCTTAATCAGTAAAACAAACAACAGCCAACAAAGTGTGGAATATACGTGTTTTTCTCACAGTAAAGACACCTCAAAGAGTATATCAGCTAACAGTAATCATGTATTCATATATTTTATTTGAGTTTTTTATTTTTCAGTGCAAGACAGAACAAAACATACCACCTGGTGGCAGACAAGCCACACAACATCCATAAACAACAAATTCATACACTTAAGAGAATGAACTAATAATAGACTAATAATAGTGCTACAGTTAGTTAGGGTCCTTTACCACACCAGCTAGGTTGTGATCGGGAGCTTGGAAAACTAAATAAAAGGGGTGCATCGTTCCGGACCTATACAGGTCGTCAGAGATACACCCAGAAAAACAAAATATAAAAATAATAATTCACCCACTCACACCTAAGTGGCCCTGTTTGAATGTCTGATTTTGTGATGGCATATGCCGAATATTACCTATTTCCATAGAATACATTTCCTTGCCAACAAAAGCCATTTTTACAGTGTTTCCAGTTGTTGTTCATGCCTCACGCTGTACTTTGAGTAAAAATTACTGTGCGTCTTTGAGAATTCTTGAATTGAACATAGTGCTTAATTCCATACCATGTGTACCATGTGGAGTCACAACGGTCAACACAGATTTTGTTCACTTGACCCGTGGTGGCCATTTCCTGGTTGTCTTGCTGCGCATTGGCTCTTGGTCAAATGGGATAGTTATGACCACTCTAAGAATACAGACCCTTGCACAGTATACTCTTTCAATGTTGCAATGTCAAACTCACAATGTTGTATTATTGTGAAGATAGCAATGTGTTTTAAAATCTCTATACAGTATATTTAAGGGATTTCAGATTTTATTGAACAGATAATGAGAGAATATGACAGCAATGAAATATAGAAAGAAGTTGTGTCAAAGAGGAATTGGCCAGGTTCGAACCTATGCCACTGTAGATGTGAGTGCCGAAGGCTGCACCATCACCGTTTGTGATCCCTTATAATGAAAGCTAACAACTAATACAATTCTAAATCAGCACTTCTACTCTGAGATGCTTTATGTTTACGGGCCCTGGTCTGACCTTTATAAACTGTGTTCTGGACATGTCCTTTGATTATGAGTCAATGTCATTTGTCAATGGAAATGGAAAACAGCACACATGGTTGAATCAACGTTGTTTCCATGTAATTTCAATCAAAACAATCTATTGAACTTAGTAAGAAATCAACTAAATCTATTCAACTTGTTAGAAAACGCATTCATTTGCCCAAGTCAATCATAAGACATGAACAAAATGCATCAGTGATTCGTATTTCCATGAACTTTCTGAAACGGCACAGGAATGCCCCTGTCTGTGTGCATGTGTGCGGTGCGCGCGTATGTCTACACTTTGTGTAGCCGTTAGCGATGATGCTAATGATAACCTTCTTCTGGTAGGGAAGGAATGGCTTTCCCCAAAACCTTCGCAAGTAAATGTTAACTACAAAGTAGCCTATGCCTGCCTGGCAGAATTATACCGTGATCATTTGCATCACTCCAGTGGCCATTTGTTCTACAGCAACACTGCTTAACCAAACAAAGGTCTCTTCCTGGTGCACGCTTGCATTTAAGGGTAACTACACCCCAAAATCTAAATGTCTTACATTTTTCCCAGACCTCACAAATGGTCACCAGATAGGGTTTAAACATTTTTGTGGACATAGAACATCCAATTGTGCTGTTTTGCTATTAAAAAGGTGTACTTTTGAGAGCGAAAACCTGCAAAAACAGGGACAAACGGTTAACGGGGAAATCTAAATGGAGAAAAGGGAACTTGGGAATTAACGGAATCAGGCAAAACATTGAAGGGATTTTATAGTGCCCTAATGGACTACAGACATTGAC